GGCAGAGGTTTGTAGACAAATGTTGGAAAACCATTTTATTGTTTTTAATTTTTTTTTTTTGCATTTATTTATCTTCACAATATATTTATAGCTATACTATGTTAGAATGTTGTTAAGAGCCATGAAAAAATGTTCAGGGTAGTTTGTTTTCCTAAATTGCTGTTGCAGCTTTAAAGACACAGATTGCTACCCTAGAAATCTTGACAGACAGTAGTCAAAGCAAAATGATTTAGGTCTGCATACCGGTCTAGCCATGGTCCACTGGAACCTCAGCAGGCCCGAACATCTTGTGACTTGCAAATCAAAGCACTCTATTGGTTTGTTGGGTGGGATGATGTGATGAAACAGAACAGCTAATAGGTCTTTTCCACCGCCCAAACTGGCATGGAATGAGAAGCTGATGGTTCGTTTAACCCCGCCTGCCGACGTGATGGCCCAAACTGCGATCGAAATGCTCGTCTGAAAATTCCAGACCCATGTAAATCTCTAAAATATAAATATATGAGAACACAACAGGACATGAGAATAATACACGTAAAACAACGTGTTTTAGCTCTGTTTGTTGGCTACAGAAGCACATTTATAAACAGAAATGTGAAGTCGCCATCTTAAGCAAACAGAGCAACAGATTTTTTGTGTGATATGCTTGTCAGCCACTAGATGGTGTCATTGGATAAGAGAAATACTCTGGAAAGAAGCTTTAAATTCAAATGCAGTGCAGAGTTTTTACCTGAAGAGGGCACAACACTGACAGTTTTAGACAGAATATTTAATTCGCTAAGATGCACTAAAGTGCCAAATTATTGTCTGCATATGTCTACAGCATGATCAGACACTCATTTATATAGTTTATCAGCAAAAAAGAAGTTGATTTAGGGGGTGACTTGCTCTTTAAGTTCTTTATTTAGAAAATGGATGTATTTGCTTTGAAAGTGTTTGGCAGACTGCCCCATTGACTGACTCCCATAACGGTGAGTATATGTAGCTGTGATTTGGAGCTACAGGTGTACATAAAAGCAACATCCCACTTCCAGTCGGGGGCTTTCACTGATGGCTGTCTGTACGTGTTGATGCTGATTGTCTGTAATAAAGGCCCCAGCACTGTTTTATAAGAAATCTGGCTCCAACTCCAACTTTTTTTAAAAACCATCTCATCCTCTGCGCAGGCAAATCAACAGTATAGTTTACAGTCTTCACACAGAAAATTCTTGTGTTGAAGATGAGATTAGCAGGAGAGTAGAGTGCACCTATTTGCATCTGCAATGCCACCAATGCGACCAAGTTTGGCGGCGTCATGTGAAAGCTCTATGTAGATGTTTAGTTACGCCTTTATAAAAATCTGGACACAATGGTAGCTATACAACCTATACACTCACCTTCTGGCTGGAAATGTTGTCACTGGAATGAGTTTGTTATCAACACCTTCATCTCCTCATACTTAGACTACTGCAACTCGCTTTTCACTTGCCTGAGCAAAACCTCCCTGAACCATCTGCAGGTGGTTCAGAAGGCCTGTGCTTGGCTTCTGCCCTCCAAACACACCCACATCACTCCGCTTCTCCTCCAGCTTCACTCAAGGGTGTGTCCAGGGGTGGCCTGGGGTAGCACATGCCATCTTTGGAATCTGATTGGCCACCCCACTGAATTCCCATTAAATAGACTCATCAACAAAAAGCTTGGGGTAAAAAATAAAGCATAATCATTGGTGCCACCAATGCACAAAGAAGTGCACTACCTGGGCCACCCCACTTTAAAAGATCTGGGCATGCCACTGACTTCATTGGCTGCCAGTCAACTTCAGGGTTCATTTCAAGATCCTGGTTCTGGTCTATAGGGCCTTACATGGACAAGCACCATCTTACATTGGTGATCTTCTTAGTCCTTACACCCCCAGCGGGTCCCTGAGGTCCAGTGACCAAAGCCTACTGGTTGTGCAGCACCAGGCTAAAGACCAAAGGTGACAGATCATTTGCTGCTGTGGCCCCCAGACTCTGGAACTCTCTCCCCCTGAGCCTGAGATCAGTGGACTCAGTGGTCTCCTTCGAAAAGCAGCTGAAAACTCCCCTGTTCAACCTGGCTTTTGAATGAACTATATCACCACCCTCTTCTTATTCTGCTCTTTCTACTAACTCCACCTTTTCCAGGAACAACTGATTTCCCTGTTTACCTTTCCTTACATTTTTTAATCACAAATTATTTTTCTCATTTTAACCATATAATTAATCTTTATATTTAAAATCCTTTAAATATTTAGCATTTTTTTGTTCTTTTGCAGCACCTTGTGATTTTTATCTTGAGAGGTGCTTTTGTTTTGTGCTGTTTTGTGTTGTATTTGTCTCATCTCTCAGTGATATTTTCCTCTTCTCCCTTTATTGAAAGCTGTTCTTATGTGTATTGTTTAATATCCTTTATCAGACAATTTTATTTGTTTAATTATTATCCAGTCTGGACTGCACACACAGTTTTGTTCAAGCCTCACTGTTTATACCCCCCACCCCCACCCCCACCCCCCCCACCCCCCACCCCCACACACACACGGATGTCTTGGTTTTGTCACAACACCTTTGTATCTGAGGGGAAAGCTGAGCATACTATCACCTTTCACCCTCATGGGTGGAAGGACACCTTGGGGAATGCTGCCTATGGAGGCTGTGAGCTGCAAACCAAACACCTCCACAGCTGCAAACTCTGACTGGAAACAACTTAAAAAACCTGGTGGAAATCTGGGGAGGTGGAGAGGTGAGGACAGTTACACCACACAGTGTGTGTCCAACCCGGATAGATTCTGGTGTAACACTTTTTATTTATTTTTATTTTATTTTATTATGATCCTGAGTCAAGGCATGGGTTGAACCAAAAAGACACCAAGTCTTCTACTCTCGGTGGCTGCAAGTAGCCTTGAATTCCCCCCTGGGGCATAAATAAAATATCTATCTACTTTATAAAAGGATTTAGTGGTTAGCAACTCTTACCATCTGTCCAGTTTTTTAGCGATTCTAAAAAAACAATTCCTTTTGTTTACGCGAAGAATAAATGCTGTCATGTGCAATCCCAGCTCAGATTTCAAAGAAGCACCAGAGGGCAGACATATCTGTACTGGATATAAAACCAACATGTCCAACCAAGATAATCTGTCATTTCTCTGGCTTGTTGGATTTCACGTCTGTAAAGCGTCACTTTGTCTCCAACGCCAAACAATAGGCTGAATGTGAGAACAAAGGCCCCTGGTGTAATGAAAGATAAAGATGCAGAGATTTGTTTTTTCTTCTGGTACTGGGTCAGACTCTCCACTTTCTTAAAGTGACTGACACTTTAATAATGGCGAGGAATAATAAGAGGGACAGGCGAACGTAGTGTATAAAAGAGACCTGAGAGTCCTCAGAGATTTCCTGGTTTATTCGATTGTGTGAGCGTTGGTGGATGCAGGACTTGGTTGGATTGAACTTGACTGTTGATACGGTGAGATTCTTAACATTTAGACAAGATTTAGCTACACCAATGTTATGTTTCGGCTATTTTGACATTTAATTTGTAAACCAGGTAGAAACACATGTGTTGGTTATGAAAAGAAAATGTGGTGAATGTGCATCACAGAAAAAGTGCAAAATAACGCTTCCTGTTACAGTCCTCTAATTACTAAGTACTTACATGGTACTTACATAGTAAGTTCAAGTGGATTATTGTGTAATTAAAGTGTATAATTGTAATAAAGTGTAATTATTGTGTAAAGCAGTATTTACTGGGAATGATTAATAAAAATAAAAACTAGAATTGAACCTGAGTTACATGGTAGTAACTGTTTAAGAACTCAGAAACAATAATACACTTTAACTTACTATGTAATTACCATGTAAGTACTTAGTAATTAAGGAGACTGCAAAAAAAGCATTACCAAATAGTCACTTTCTTGTACTTGATTTGGATAAAACACAAAATTGTGAGAAAAAAAGTCGTTACTTTAATTGCATAAAGATTAGAGACATTTGAAAACCTCAAACTAAGCTCAATGCACAACAGGAAGCAAAGAGTTTTAGTGTAAAACTTTTCAGAAACCCAAATCTTAGCTTTTACTTTGCTTCTAAGGATTTTGAAAGATAATCTTTAGACTGTGGCTGCCATTTTCAGTCTTTGTTGTGCAGCATGTTGTGTGACGTGCACTTAAAAATGAGGAAAGTGGATAAGTACAGGATAAAGACATGAGTTTGGTCGAAACAAACATCAAATTATTTTTCTTCAGAAATACAAAAAAGAAGACTTAACACAGAACATGCAACTGATCATATATTTGATTTAAAATGTAAGTGTTATATTTTGTATTTACTTAGTTTAATTAAAAAAAATCTAAATGAAAGGTGTCTTTATTCAGCTGTTTTTTGTTCCTGCTTGTTGTGTATCAACCCAAAATCAGAATCGGGTTTATTTGGCCATGTATTTTTAAACGTACAAGGAATTTAGCTTTGGTTGATGTGTTAGCTTTCTAAACGCACAACAAATAAACGGGAATACCTGCCATCATCAAGGAACATACCTTAAAAAAAACACAAAAAACTCACAAAGCATGTTCATCATCATCAGCTTTTGTATTTTGGAGTATTTCTAGGCCTGAAATAATCCTAAATCAGGGTTAATTGGCTAAAATACTAAATTATTTTGGATTACAATGAAAAAGCTGTCAAAGTTCAAACAACAACTTTACCAGATGTCTGAACAAATGTTGCTCTTTTGAAATTTAAAGTGTTTCAGCCAAGTTTAACAGTTCAGAAACAAATTAAAAAGGTTTTTGTTTTTGTACAAACCAGTTGTATTTGTTGCCCTTTGTGACTTAAACCAGCAGCATTTATCTGATCTGTAAAATCACTTCAATGAAATTATTACAGTAAATTAAGTGAAATCTGAAACGATCTGATCTGATCATAATACACCTTTAGATTTCATGCAGAGAATACACATTTTCAAAAACTGACTTTTTGCCTTGTATTTGTCTTAATTTTTGATGATAGTTGCTATGATGAAACTGGCTGCATCATGCCACTTCTTGCTACTACTGCTGCATGTTGTTGAGCTAACAGGTGAGGCACAATGCTTGGACTAGAAACTTCAACTCATATGAGTTTGACACGTCTTCACATGAAACTTATACAGAAATTGTCCTTTTCTTTGTGTCTTAGGTGACAATACAGACAGAATCATCGGAGGCTATGTGGTACCCTCTCACAGCATTAAGTATCAAGCTTCCCTCTTATTCAGTAACTCCCTCTACTGTGGAGGAATCCTCATCCAACCCCAGTGGGTGATGTCTGCTGCCCACTGCTGGAAGCCGTAAGTCACTGCAGTTTGTAACCTAAAGAGTCTTTTTCCCTTCAGTCCACCTAAATGAAGCCTATTTAGAGCTGCAACGGTTCCAGGACCTATTGAAAAGAGACTATTCATAATTTTTGATGAATATCTATGGAAAAGGATCAGGGCCACTGACAAAAAAAGTTCTATTTAGTCTCAGATTTCTGAAAAAAATGTGAGAATTCTGAGGAATGGGTCAGAACCATCAACATATAAATATGGTCAGAACTGAGATTATGGTTGGGATTCAAACTTTATTTTCAGAAATCTTGCTTTTTTCTGTCTTCCATAAATATTTATTTTAGAAGATTTGTCTTTATTTTTGAAAAAAAAAACATTATTATTAAGTTTTAAAATGAAAGAAAATATGGAAAAAATATACAAAGATATATATTTTGTATATATATATATATATATATATATATATATATATATATATATATATATATATATATATTACTGGTACTTTTATAGTTACTTTGAAATTACTCCATGAAATAAACTGCTGCTTAAACCTGCATTTTTTATGATGTCAATCTATAATAACATCAGTTTTTTTTAATTTCTAATTAAAATGACTGGAGACGAAGTTCACTGAGAAACCGTACTTATTCTTTTTGAAGTACAATCAGTCCATTTGAGTTTAGCATGCAGGCTGATTGTGAAAATTGTTTTCTACCCCTATTTCCTATTGAAAACGCTTGGTTCACAAAAAGCCAGACAGATTAATGTCTCACTGTAAATTAGCATTCGTGGACTCACCCATTATGACTTGCAACCGGGGATGGCTGTGTTGGTTTAGGTTCCAGGAAACAGCAGAGCACGTCGGCTAGTAGACCAACTATTAGCATTAGCAATTGGAAGCATTGGGTCCTATTTTTAAAGTCTTTGTAATGAGCCAACCAGGGTTTGACCCCAATCTCCCAGTCCCAGTTGTGTTATTTATGGAAATAAAACATCAACGTTGCATTTTTTTACCCAAGAAAGAAGAGAGAATGAGTCATGTTGCTGTTAGCCAAACAGAGGCAAAATAATTAGAGGCTGGTGATACTCTTGTTGAGTTTCGTTAATATCTTGAATATCAACAAAAAAATCCCATGGCCCCTGATCTAAAGTGTTGCAAATATGATTGTTTTGTCTTTATTGAGTTTTATGTAACAGAAACAGTCAATGGTCACTAAACAAAGCTTAAACATCCAAGGATATTAAATGCTGTTGCTTATTTGTAGGAGTTACTTGGTAAAAGTGGTCCTGGGTGACCAAAACCTCATGTCGTCGGATGGATATGAGCAAATATTCAACGTCTTATTTATCATCAAACATCCTGATTACAACTTATGGATGCTTGACAATGACATCATGCTCCTGAAGGTAAGAAGTAATTATGAGAACATGCATGATTCTGGATGAGCATTTAGGTTTTCTGTTGCAAACCAGCACAGAGAAACACAGAAGCTTTTTACTTGAAGATGTCTGATGTGTGCTCTGTGTGTTTGTGTGGGTCAGCTGGACCGCCCGGCTACCATCAATGCTGCTGTGGACGTGGCTGTTTTGCCGGATGTGGACGCACCCCCTTTACCAAACCTGTCTACATGCACCGTCAGTGGTTGGGGGGTGACTTGGGTCTTTGGCTACACTCTGTCCAGTGACCTGATGGCGGTAGATGTGGTTTACTTTGCAGACTGTTGGCAGTTCTACTACTTCAGAGCCACATCCAACATGATCTGTGCTGGTTCTTATAATGGAGGGAAAGATTCGTGTCAGGTGAGCCACAAAGTACACCTGAGTTTGCTGGAGACATTTTGTCTAATTTAGGCTCATAATCTAATGTAAATCAAGAAGAGTTTGGTTGTAGGAAATTTTAAAAAATCTAATTTTATGTAAGATCATAACAAAACTTTTGTGTTGCTCCTGTCCAGGGAGATTCAGGGGGACCTCTTGTCTGTAATGGTAAACTTGAAGGCATCGTATCCTGGGGCATCGGTTGCGGCTATTCTTTCTACCCTGGTGTCTACACGAAGGTCAGAAACTACCTCTCGTGGATCAGCTTGACCACCAAGAATAACTAATACCCAAACGGCTCACAGAGGGGATACTTTCATAAACCTTTACATGGATCCTGAAGAACTGAATACCACCATGAGTGATTGTTTTTATCACTTAGGGTCGCTTTAAGATTTTATTTACAAAGATTGAAAACACTCTGCTGCACATTAGAAATTTCATAGCTTTTAATATTTCACATGTGGAAACTATATCTGAGCTTAATAACTACTCAGAATAGTATTCAAAAATAAACAAAATTTGTTCTGCTTGTTGCATTAAATGCATTGTGATTAAGCTGTTTTCAGACCCAATTTCTGGATGTCAGATTCTGTCAAGGCTGTTTGTTTTTTTTCTCTTGAAGAATTTTTTTTCACTTGACAAAAAATTAAATGAGACTTGAAAATAAAGATTCGTATTTTCTCAGACTGATTATTTTGTTTTGGATTATTAAAGAGACAATATGTAGTTTTTTATCATTAATCTCTGGAAATATCCATCGAAATGTTGTTCAAAAAGAATAAAATGACGTCCAGATGTTGAAAAACATTGGAGGCTTTGTAACATATAACTATAAAAATCTGGTCTAAATTGCAGTCTTTGGAGGACGCCATAGACACCATGTTTCCTTCTGGCTGGCTCGGGGTCCTGCGCCTGTCGATGACATCACACTAGATGATTGGCTGGACGTACAACTTACAGGAGTTTTGTTAGTTTATTTAAACTAGCAACAGTCATGGCGATATGGTATAAAACTACCCTGAAATGTGTGTCTGTACTGCCCCCCAGTGACAGAAAACTACACACTGCCACTTTAAGCTCTCCCTGAAAAGTTAAAATATTAATAATCATTGAACAAAATTGTTTGCCACTGTTTTCATTGATTGATTGATTGACACTTTAGTGTTTGAACTTATCTTTACATTCAGTAATGGCCAAGTGCATTGACGGACTAGCCATTGGGAGCATAGGGACATGTCCCAGTCCCCACCTGGACAAGTGTATCTCTTGCCCTCTAAATTTTGACACATTTGTTACAAATTTGATGAAAATAAAACCTTTTAGGTTCTTTAGTGGAAGATATCACGATCATAATTCAGTATATTAAATAAGTTAATTATGACTTTGTTATAAACAAAAAAACATTTATTTTATTTTAATAAGACAAAAGTTGTGCTTTTAAGAATGTTTTGTCATACCTGCTGAGATTTTTGACTGAAGGCTTCAGTCTAGCTCAAAACTAATTTCTGCTGTTGTGTCATTTATCAGCTGGTCTGGGGACGCGGTTTGGTAGCGCTCCCCCAGAAGACCTGGCCCAAGTGGCTGGGGAGAGGGAAGTCCGGGCTTCTCTGCTTAGGCCGTTGCCCCCATGACCCGACTCTGGATAAGCGGAAGAAAATGGATGGATGGATGAAACTTGTTGAACATGTTTTGCATCGACCATAAAATTATTATAACTTAAGAAAAAAACAAATCATTTGGTAACACTCCAATATCCTGAGATCCGGACCAATGCTTGAACAATGTTTCCAGCTATAAGTAACTGGCTTTAAGAGGTTTTCAATGTTTTCCATAGATTCAAGAAGTGTTGTTTTTCTACGGCAAACTGCCTTAAAAACTCAAAAACAAAAGCATTGACGCCACTGCAGAACCCTTTGCTTTGATATGTACGTATCGTGTGGGTTCGCTCTTCATCTGGGCTACAATAAAGTTAATGCAGGAATAAATAAAATAAAGACAAGATAAAAAGTATCTGGTTTAGAGGTGAGTAGCTGTACCCCCCAGCACCAATGCAACACTGTTTACCGCTGTCAAGTACATCACACCTTTCTTTTAAAATCCATATAAAAATCTGTCCTCTTCCTTTGGACAGGGTTAGGGTAATTATGGTAAGTTTACTCCCTGGTGAATGATTGGCTGACTGTGTCCTCACCCCTTTCACCCCTCGGTCCCATTCACATTTAAAGCTGAGCCACAATGAGCTCATTCAGTCAAAATCAGGTCTACAAAACGCCAAGAGCCACTATGGATGGAGTCAACTCCCGACGGGACATCACTGTTGTCAGTCGCTCCAGGGACCTGAGCCAAGAAATGGTTAAAAAACTGATTCATCAGTCGCAGGAGGTAAAGACGCAATCTTACTGCCCTTACAGCAAATTCCGGGTGGGAGCTGCTGTCATGACCCTCGACAACTGTGTGTTTACAGGTGAGCTATGCAAAATGTTGGTAATTTCCTCTTTAAGCCCATGCTTTTCTATTATATTTAGTATAAAAAAATTTAAATAATGTGTCTGAGTCAAAGCCTTCTAGGAGACATAACAGAATTCAATATTAAAACAACACAATAGTGCATCCGTTTGCTCTGATCTTCATACTGCTGGATCATGTTAATGATTACCCATCAGGTCAAATGTCTAAACTTGAGAAAAGCTCTGGAGTAAAAGGCCAACGTTCTCCACACCCAGTAAGTACAGTCGGCATGTGCACAAACAGAAGTCGGAGACACGGTGCTCCTGTCAGCATCACTGGACAAGTCACCTGTCCTGTCACGTGGGGGAGGTACGGGGCGATGACTGGAAAACTGCTGCAAGTCCAAAGACCCCTCTGACTATTTGAACAGGCCAGCAGAAGTAAACACTGTTCCAGAAGGTAAATGCCCCTCATAAGTTAAGTCACCCCATGTCTTTGTGTGTCTCTCTAGGGTGCAATGTAGAGAACGCGTGCTACACTTTGGGACTGTGTGCTGAAAGGAACGCCATCTCGAAGGCCGTGTCAGAAGGATACAGGAGTTTCAAGGCCATTGCAATCGCCAGGTAAATGTACATTGTATTGCTTCATGTTGCATTTATTTTCACCTCAAGAATAACGTAACAGTTTACAGTAAGGGTCCCTCTATTAACGTTACTGCATTATGAAGCACTAATAAACAAATAATCCCTTTATTAAAGGGATACTATGCACATTTTTCATATTTTTAAATAATTGCCTTGAGCCAGTTCGTGCTTAAATAACTATTTACAGGGTTAATGGAATGTCACTCAGACCCCACCGCCCCCTCTGGCCAGAATATCACACTTGCAACTTCAGAGTTGCTGGTCTGTCCCTGCTGGGGGGAGGGGGGTTGAGTGGAGTGGAGCAGACATGGTGGAGCGGTCTGCTTCCAGCACGTTCCCTGCATGTTACTGATGGTGAACACAGCTGATTTGTTTGATTTAGTGATAAACCGCTCCTCTAGAAGATAATGAAGACGGAGGAGACACTACAGCAGTAAGATTAAGGTGTTAAAAAGATGAATGCACGAGGAGATAAGTTTCATTTTCGGTTTAACTACAGTAAATTAACAACGGACACTAGGGGGTGCTAAAAGCATGCACAACTACCTAGTGTCACTACCGTTGTAAAGGTTAGGACAAATGGCTGAGTGGGCAGAGGGTCTGCTAAGCAATGCATTACATTAATATGGTTAAGCAGTTTTTAATACCCTTATTTATTAATGCTTGATATTGCACAAAGTACTGTAAAAAATTACCAAATTATTCATAAAAGCCAAACAATTGAGTTTCATTTTTCTTGTAAATTCCTCCAAACCCCATTTGCTTTCTGCTACGTTTTCCAACTTTCTGTTTTTTGCAGTGACTTATGCGACCAGTTCATCTCTCCATGTGGGGGCTGCAGACAGTTCATGAGAGAGGTCTGAGCTCCTTGTTCCATTTGCAGAGTTTAAATGAGTCACTAAAGCAGCACGCATACTAATCAGCACTAGCAGGAGTAAAGCACTAGCCAAAGCTGGTTCCTTTTTGTGAAATGTGAAGTTTTTGTTTTTTTGACCTACAGTTTGGGTCCAATTGGGACGTTTACCTGTCCAAGCCTGATGGATCGTATCAAAAGCGGACGGTGGACGAGCTGCTGCCCCTCTCGTTTGGTCCTGAGGATCTATCCATGAACAAAGTGTTTAGCTGAACATGCTGTAGTGATACAGCATGCTTCATATGTGTTTAGCAGCAGTTATATTTATGGTGAGAAGTTTGTTCTCATGCCGTCTCTAAATTATATTTAAATCAACTGCGAGAGGGAAAAATATTATTGATGCAATGATTTCATGTCTACTTCCTCAGTAGCATTAAATGCACGACTTATGTTGGTAAAAATATTTATTGGTTTAAAGAAGCATGACAGAAACGAATGGTCACACATTTTAATAAATAGTTTTTAAATGGAGTCACGCTTCATTCCTTATTGAGAAATGAACACAGTTTCAGTTCAAAGGACAAACAAAAGAAGAACATATTTTGTATCAGTGTACTGCAAATGTTTCTATTTGAAGAGACAAAAAGAAGAGCCATGTAAGCTGCCAGTGCAAAGTGACAAAATTAATTCATGAGTTATTTTAAGTCTACCTATCATGCGTAAACATTCAGAGGCTAAAGATTAGAAGACATATTGTTTCTCTTGGATTCAGAGCTGTGGGGGGATATCAGGTAAATCGGATTTTTCTGGCTAAATTGTTCATCAAAAGGAGAGAAAGCACTAAAGTCAAACTCTAGATTGTTATTTCCAGGCTTTAAGTACAAGTAGCAGTGCAAAAAATTGCATCCGTTTTTTGCTGAGTGACAACTTAATTAGTAAACGAGACACAGAACAGTTAATGTTTAATAGCTTGATTTCATTGTCATACCTGTTTAAATGTGGCACAAATCAGTGTTTCTATCTGCAAAAGACTGAATAATTCATGTCTACAGCTAAAGAAGTAATAAGAAATCAAGCTAGTACAGATGTTTGTAATTTAACAGTGACTGAGATTCATAAAGAAGAATTACAAGAACATACGTGCACGCTCCCACCACCGTGCACAGCCAGAAACCTCGTAAGAGTTTAGCTGGATCACCGGGGCTGTGGCGAACGCCTGTGTTGTGTTTTGATGCACGCTGTCTGAAGGTGGATGTGATAAAGCAGTACGATAATTAGCATTTTGTACTCATAACACTCCTCCACAAGGTGTTGCTGCTCGCTCACACCATCAGTGTCAACCTACAATTAAAAAGCAGAACTTAAACAGTTAAGTGTGAACCACAACACTGCTCTGCAGACATCGTTCAGACGTATCTAACCAGGAATTAAAGCCACAAGGCCGAGTTGTTCTTTCTGATTTCAGCTCTCTGTGGAAGAGTTGTCATCGAGCGTGGGCCATGCAGAGACGTGCAACCTGGGCAATGTCCCCTCCATCAGTCTCTCCATCCACATTCCCAGTTTGTCCAGCTTGTGGTGGACTTCTATGCTAGTAGCTCTACTTGAACCTCTTTTGGGTTTGGCCCCATCCTCTCTGGAATGAGACCGGGATCGAGAGTGGGAGCTAGATCTGGACCTGGAACGAGACTTTCTCCTGCTGTCGGAAGAAACCGAGCTCTCGGACGACGAGTTGTTGGGATCGTCGCCTGTGAAGACGGGCCTGAAGAGGCAAAAGTACTTCTTGTAGCCATTGAGAGCCAGGACGTGTCCAGAGTAGTCTGAGGACTCTTCATCATCAAGGCTCTCACTCTGCCCAACATAACAGGCTGAGCGCAGGAGCGAAGGCATCCACTCACGGTGCTTGTCAGCATTGAGGAAGGAGAAGTGCAGAGTCTCAGTGCTAAGGGAAGTGGAAAAATTTAACATTTTAATAGATCAAAAGAGCACAATCTTAATAATAGACCTCTTGAATAACTTACCCCGAGAAAGAGAAAACCTCCTTGGCAAATTTCCTGAGCAATGCGTTTTTGCAGATATTAGTGAGCACCAGGACGACATTGATGTGGCCCGGTCTCAGTTTTACCAGGTTACTGATGTAAGTGATGTCTGTTAGCTCCGTCACTTCCACAAAGTCCTTCTTTGGAGGACGGCTGCATGGATCAAAGGAGAGGAAAAAGAATGGAAGGAAGGTTAAAGGGGGAAGAACCTGTCTGCTCTAGGCTTGGGCGGTACTACAGTAATACCGTATACAACTGGTGTGTAAATATAGCAATGGTATCAGCGTCTATACCATCATGCAAAAACAGCAGTGCACTTAGGAGACAAGGATTCATATAAAAAAGTAATTTCATGTGTAAAAATGATGTGTGGTTGAATTTTCATTTTTACTTAAATATGTTTTGGCCGACTTTTGGAGATGTTCCTTAAATATTATGAACATGACATCGTCATGTGACTGCGCAGAGGAAAGAGAGATGCACCTTAAGAGAGTGGGAGAAAGATGGCAGGTCGCAGTGTGTAAAATAAAAAAAACACACAACTTCTGCAGTTTGGAAGTATTTTGGGTTCCAAACAAACGATAAAGGAGAGCTGGTGTTCCGACAATCTGTGTTTTTCCCGGTCAACGAGTGTTCCCCGTGCAATAAAAAGGTGATGCAGGTCCCGTCGGCACTGCAACGAAATGCCCCAGAGTAGGGCTGGGCGATATATTAAAAATGTATCGTTATCGAAATTTCTCACTCTAATCTAGATCGTTTTCCCCACTTCAACAAATTCAATATTTAGAAAAATAAAAAGATGCAAGTTGGCCACGTTCATGTTACTTTAAGAAGCTGTACCACCTCGAGTCACATGACAACACAGCCCCATCTAGAGGACAACTTTAGTTTTTATGCATACAAGTAGTTATCGTCCATTTATCGTTATCGGGGTGAACTCCTCGATATATGGTGATATTGACTTTGGGCCATTTCGCCCAGCCCTACCCCGCAGCTGAAACAACAGCCTGTTCGGGGCCCGTTATTCGAGGAGACAACAAATCTTTTTTTTGGTTAAAACATGCTGCTAGTCTCTTCCACAGATGTCGTGACTGGCCCGCAAGCCACAAGCTCACCAGTGGGTTTTCAGCACCATGGGCAAAGCGGTCGGTCCATAACATGCAACGTTAAAGCAAGAAAAGTAAAAATGCTGGTTTTTCTGGCAAAAAAAATCTGTTTTATAAGTTGCAGGCTTTTTATAATAAAAGTTGCTAATATCATGTTATTTTTTCGGTATTTGGGATTCAGGTACTGAACGGTGGAGGTCAAAGCCAACAGTTTGGTAGTGCCACTTGAGTCTTACTTTATCATTTTTAATTAGTCACGGTAATACCGTACAGCGATAAAATATGGAGGAAGTTTAGCCGAAGTAAAACATGGATACCGCCCAAGCCTAGTCTGTACTTTATGCATTCTGTATATGCTGGAAGGAAAATCTATAAATGATATAATAAATAAAACTCTACTTATTTCATGAGGAATTTGAATAAAGATGCTCAGACAACTAAAGTTCGATTTCAGTACAAGCAGTAATTTTATCCAATAGATTGGTGAGACTCGTCCTGTGAAGCAGCTGATATCTGATCGATCTCCAAAGATGTGACGCAAAACTCAAAACCCCAACAGCAAAGAGCTCTGAGTGAAGCAGCCATTTAGAAATCAGGAGGATTCGTTTTAGCGTTCAGTCTAAACAACGAGAGTTTGATTATTTTACAAGGTTTTGGAAGTTTTATGTGAGAAAATCAAACTTCTTCAAGTTTAAAGCATTTAGTTTGGCTGTTCTTCGTTTGGATAAATAACAAACATTAGTTGTGACAGTACACCTGTAAATAAATGCCCTCTTCTGGAAAGTTCAAAAGACATCAAATGATTTTAACAATACCTTGAGGTACTTGCTCTGCTGGCTGCATCATCCTCAGTTTGTGTGCTGGGTTGCTCCTTTCGTTTGGATTTGTGAGGTTTGCTCTCGCCCGGCTCACTAAAAAATACCACAAACGGTAAACTTGCTTTCATGAAAATTTTGATTCTCCTTAGCATTTCAGAAAAATCCATTACAATGATTAAAAGCCAAAAATAAGGTTTAAATAAAGTAGTTTGTGAGGAACCTTTCAGTTATTTAGAATTAAAATCCTCCCACCTGAAAGCCTGGATGATAACGGTGCCAAAAAGAATAAAGAGAGCCGAGAACACCAAGGACAGAAGGGGCATAATCTCTCGCCTTAAAGAAACAATAAAAACATGGTTACAGCAATAAAAACAGAGAAAAATAAACACCATGACCTGTTCATATTTTAGGTTTACTTTGACTTTTTCAGAGGTGCATCCAGTTAAGAGTCCTCACTAAGCACCAGGTACACACTTACACGGAGCATGACTCAGCTCCTTATCTGACGTTACAAAACTTTCTGAGTATCGTCTTACCAGTCTGAGTAGAGGACGCCATCATAAGTTTGAAGGATGTAATCATAAGCTGCGTTCATCCACTGAACAATAAAAATCTGGAAAGAAGATGGAAAGAGAGGATTACATTGAATCAAAGAATGAGCAGGTCGTCTGACATGGGTGTTGGACGTACCGGAGCCATCTCGTTGTTGAGTTCTGGTAACGTTGCATCTAAGGTCAGATAGCTGGGGTCTTTCTGAAGGAGCTCCAGCTGTTGGTGGAGGTGATGTTTGTCCTCCTCACTGCCGTTCCAGCCTCTGCTCACAGAGCGGTACATGACCCTACCCGCTAGGCTCCTCCTCTCCAGAACCACCACCTGTCAGAGAGATTACACAGCACTTTTACTGGAAACCGAGGCGCTGCAGAACCTTAGAAAGCACACAGTCGTAATCTGAAACAACAAATCTGATACAACTTCCAGTTTGATATTTTGTGAAAAGGCAAGGGCAGTGAGAATCAAAGTTCGGGTTGTCCTTGATGTTTTCTTTACCTTACAGTCAGAAACAAGAATGAACGCTGAGCGTTCCGACTGCTGACCTGAGCTGAAGCGACAGCCTGGTTGTGCAGAAGCGCCCGACAAAGAGGTTGCTGTTGACGCTGGTAGACGTACGCAAACCTTAGCACGTCTTTTTTGTTAGCGGAGGCAAAGTCCAAGAAGGCCTTATTGCCTGAAAGGAAAGCTTCATCCTCCCCGGTGATGAGCAGCACACAGTACCTAAAAACCATTCACAATAAGGTGACCCGCTACGTAACCTAGATAATCTTCAATTCTTGTAACACAAATGAAAATGTCTCACTTCCTTCGCCGATGGAACTGCTTGACAGGACACAGCTCATTAAAAAGCTGCTGGCTGACCAACCGTGGCACCTGCAGGAACTTGTTGTTGGAGACAAACTCGTCCATGAGCTGCCTCTTCATCCCTCTAGCCTGAAACAGGGTGAGAGACGTTTGGCTATGGTTTCCTTTCTGTTGCAACGGCAGACATTCACATCCAGGACTTAGTCTGCAGGTTGAATGGAGTGTACCTGGATGATGTCAACGGGCTTCTCTGTGTGCTCCTTAAAAAGCAGCATGGTGGGAGCGTAGGTGTTTAAGTTGAACTGCTGAAGTAGTTTAGGGTTGTGCGAGGCTCCCTGATCCACGTAGCCAAAGCGCACGTAGTCTCTGAAGGTAAAGGCTGTCAGCTGGAAGGAGGAAAACACAAAATAGGATCATTAAAAAGGAAGAGAGTAGACTTTATAGTCACAACTGTGCACCGGAAACAGAAAGCGTTTGGAAAATATGAACAATTCTTCATTGAATTAGCAACAAAAGAGTTTGTGCACATTTTTACTACATAACAAGGATCAGGTCTAACACGAAAAATTAGCCAAAAAATATTGGCAAAAGGTTAGCTGTGAAAAAAAAAAAACATGGCAATCAAAGACAATATGTGAATTCTGACGGAAACATAAACTTATTGGATTTAAGCTGCAGGAAATAAAACTGCTGACTCACTCATCCCAGAAGTCATTGTGATGAAGTCTAAACAAACCCCAGAGGCACAGAAAAAGTCAATATAATAGGAATCGTCTCATTACCATCAGCCTTACTTGACTGTTTTCTCATGCTGGGTGTCTCTGTGTCACGATTACTGAGCACACTTTATTAGCTAGTTTATTAGATTCACAATGCACAATGTGGTTTGTTCATATTAAAGCTTTCAGAGCAGTTTTTGGCAGCTTTACCTTGTAGAGTAGAGAAACAACAGGAACTTGGTCAAACAGGAGAACACGGGGCTTATTTTCTGAATGCCAACCGTCAAGAAAAGCCAGGTAGTTATTATCATTGATCTGGAAAAACAACAGAAAATAGTTCAAATATCCATATGCTTCTGTTTCATGAAAATACCACACCTGATGGTCTTAACCGTACTTAAACTAAGAAATGAAAGCTGTCCTGCAGAAATAAGGTTAAAGATGAGGTATGAGATGTTTTTCTGGAGCATTTTTACCATATTACTAGAAATGCTCTTCACATACTGAAGGCAACCAATAAAATAAAAGTTTTTATTTTTTTATTTTAATGGGCTCTGAAATTCTCTTGTTAACGGTTAGGTGACGGACCTGTTGTCGTTGAACGCAGCCTCTCCTCTGTTGGCTGGCAGAGCCGTCTGTCAACAAGTTTGTTCCCTTGAGTTTGCTGCCAACGCATTTGTTGTGTGTGTGTGAAGAGTTGACGGAAAGGACAAAATGAGTCTGAGGAAATTCAGGTTTGAGTTCTGGAACTTTTGACTAGAGGCTGGCCGGTATATTCAATTTTTTCTATAATGCTGAAATTATTTTTGAAAGCAGATAAAAACAAATAAAAATAATCAGGCACTTGTGTGGCCAACTGCCGCCACTACTAGGCTGAAGGAAGGACCCGAAGGACCCCAACACACTGTGGGACAGCCCACTCAACAGTGCTGTGCTCCAGGTCACTTTGTGTTGAAAAAACCGATAATAAATGGTAATAAAACAATGTAAGTAAAAGGAAGGTTCTAGCTTTGAACCTCCCTTTTACTTACATTGTTTTATGCTAAGCTAAAGCAAAACTTTCTGCTTCCAGATCAGGAGAATGACTGAGATTGTTAGCTACACTTATCTAACTCTGGGAAATCTAACAACAGACAAAATTTTACTTCTGAGTGGAATATCCCCTTAAGTTTGGTGTTTAATGTTTGAACTATTTTTATGTATAGTTTAGATTTTATTTTTTACTACAATGTGGTAATAATGGGGTTAGGTCTAGGGTAATGTAGGGAACGCCTTAAAAAAGGAGGTTGGACTTTTGAATTGTGTATTTGCAAAAAGTGGCTTGCTTGAATGGCAAGTAAAAGATCTTCTACTGCGCCTTTAAGGCAAAAATCAACTACTTCATGTAGTGTGTGTGAGCTCTAGTTACCCTCTCCACCAAGTTTTGAGGCAGCAGTGCTTCTAGAAACTGTTGCAGGTGTTCTCGAACCACAGCCTGGTGGAAGAAGGTTATCCTGCCATTCGCCAGCCCGATGATGGAGGGCGCACGATAAGCTCCCAGCTGATTGGCTAGACGGCGCTCATAGCCCAGATCGACAATGCCAAAACCCACACCTAGTTTAATGTCAACAAAGGTCAGAATGAGAGAAACAAAAAGGAAAAGATACAGAACTGTGTGATTGGAACACCTCACAGTGAACATGAGAACGTGACTCAAAGTGGTACAGCTTCTTAAAGGGACATTATGGAAGTTTGACAGCCAAAACATGTATAGAAATAATAAATTTCTTCTTCATACATTCTCCTGCAATGCCCTGGTCCTGTAGAATGAGCCCTGGCATTTTTACTGTGATTGCCTGTTTTTCTGTAAAATCACAGAAAAAGAGAGCTGCTCGGGTCGAGCAGGCTGCTTCATGCGCTTTCACGCTCAGGCATCGCCCGTACCATTTGCTATCCGTAGCTTTAGCTGCAGAGAGAGAGGTAGAGCTAACTCAGCTACTTTGTTGCTGTTCCTAACGCCTAGTGATGAACCTAGCTACATTTCTGAGGACCCTTAGCTACTTTCTTCTAGATATTTCCTGCAAATTAGCAACAAAATAGCCATTTTCGCTCCGAAGCGTTCTTTGAACGTTGTTTTAGCTGTCATCAAGGATATAAAAGCTACAGATACCAGAAACATCAGTGGTGGTTTAGCTCATCTAGTTAGACGTTGGACTCTCGTGCAGGAAACCTGGGTTTGATTCTGGGTGAGAACACAGTTTTTGTAGAGTTTCTTTGTTACATTAATGGTATATTTTTTTACAGTAAGATGCCCAAATTTTTATTTGAGACTTGCCGAACGGCATTGAATTCACAGATAAAAAAGATGTGGGTTAGGGTTGTCACGATACTAAAATTTCAAACTCGATTCGATACTGGGAAGAAGAAAAAACTCGATACTCAATTTTGATACTATTTAAAAACACCAATTTATTGAACAAGTTTATTCAAAAAATAGCATTCCTCAGTTTATATTGCAAAAATTAAATGTTAAGAATTAAGTGTAAAAAGTGCTTAAACCTTTCAAGTATCAGCATTTTTTAAAACGTGCATACAAAACTGGCGAAAGTTAACACTTAAAATCATGAATTGTCTCACTATATATATACTATTTGCAGAGTGATGTTTTGCTGCTTAAACTCTGTTTAAGGTGCATTTTTGTCATAAGCTGTAATGCCATATGTTTTGTTCTGTACTTTTGAACAACTCTGTTGGTCAATAAAGGGAGAAAACGAATTTCTCCACATTAGGACAAAGGTACATCTAATCTTAATAAAAACAGATTGGCGCACGGCAGTGACGTCATTAAAAACACTGGTTAGATTAGCCGCGGCTAGTCTGTTCACGCCTAGAAATCCCAGACCCGCTCCAAACGAACAGGGGAATCATGTTAATGATTCCTAACAAAACCTTTCGACATTGAGATGTTTTGGCGCAGATAATGTCTTCTTTTGAGGCTGCACCATGGGTGCCCGTCCGCACCCGTTAAGGAGTGTGCACGTACAGCATGCTCGCCTCGTGCACGAGCCTCCTACTGAAGCTGCCGTTACGCTTTTGGCCAGAGGGGGCAATCGCGAGCATAAAAATTCAAAACTCCATAAAGTCCCTTTAAAGGGACATGAGTGTTGCTTACCTACACACATCTTTTCACTTTTTTTATTATCTTATGTATTGACATGAGAAAAATGATCTCAATAAGAGTCAGAAATTTAGATAACGATAAATTTTCGATTTATTGCCCAGCCCTATCCTGGTTTGAGTTCTTTGTGGAGATAAAACATCAATGTTGCAAAGCAAACGGAGTCAGTGGGAGTGTTGCGTTGCTGTTATCCAATCCGAGACGAGATGTCCAACTATCAGGAAATAAAACTCCAGATCCTGTAGTCTAAAGCTCTCCTCTGATGTGGCTTACTTCTACTTCCTGAAACATAAAAGAGGACTTCCAATGCAAAAATCTCACCCAGGGGTTCCAGCTCCTGCACCGTCTCCTTCCACACAGGCTCAATGTGCATACATTCAAAGCACCACTCAGAAGTCACTTTGATCAAGTATGGCCTCTTGTAGCTGTCTGGGAGTACATCACTGTTAAACTGTGCATGGTGAAGCATGTACTTGCTGTCTGCAAACTCCCTGGACCTGGAAAGGGGTTGGAGAAAAAAAAGCTGTGTGTTTTTAAAGATCGATGTAAATGATGCCCCCCTAAAAAATTGTCTGCACCCCCCACCCCACCCCACCCCCCCAATTCTAATTCAGCGTTGCCTCCTGCCTTTTGTTGGCTTAGAAGAAAATGCTCTCTGAAACATAAGAGTACCTGGGGAAATGGAAAAAGGACTCGTCAAAGTAGAAGCTGTTGTGGAATTTGCGGAAACCGTGATGTTGTGACTGGCCAAAGGGTTGGTTTTCATCCATCTGCCCATAGCGATCATAGTTGGACCTTCGCTCCTCATTAGACAGAATCTGGTGTGTCAAACAGAAGGAAAACCAAAAGTGAGAACAAAAAAATTCCTGTAAACAATAAAGAAGAAAGTGAAACAGACTAAAATGAAGAAAGAGGAGCTTAAACTACCAGGTGCAAACATGTGACAAAGTCTTCTCACTCACCTCGTATGATTTAGAAATCTTGATAAACATGTCTTCAGCTTTAGGGTCTTTATTCTTGTCTGGATGCCTAGAAAGTCCAACAATGGCATCATAAATCACAGCATTTACGTAAGGTTAAGGAAGTGGTCCTGATTTGACATTTTAGGACAGCTTAGTTTAGCTTGGCACGGTTTAAATCACAGGATCCCTACTGTAAAGAGGACTGGTCTGAGTCTTTACATTATTATGTCACTCACCATTCTCTGGCGAGGTTCTTGTATGCCCGTTTTATTTCTGCCTGACTGGCGCTCCTGCTGACACCCAGAATACTATAGGGGTCAAACTCAGACGCAGTTATCACCAAACGTACAGTCAATATTAACAGACAGGTGGCGAGCAGCAAAGATGGATATATCCGAAGACCCCGGCCGGTGTTGCTCCAAGTATCCGTCATCTTCCTTGCTACTGTTGTAGTTACAACAATTAGCTAGCCTATAGCGGACAAATATATCAAACAAAGCGCTTACATGATCGGTTTTGTTAATTATTTAAGTGTCAAGTGAGAATACAGACAACAAATGGCTATTTCACCACGACGAGGACATGATGCTCCTTACAGATGATGGACATTAGCACACCCTCAGCGTCAGCTAGCTACAAAACAACACATTTCCGGTTAGGATTTTCAAAGTAAAGTTCTTATGAAAATTGATTAAAAGTTGGAATCTAATTCATAACAAGTTAAGAATTTAAAAGGCTCTCTTCAGAATAGAAAATGCATTTTAAACCCACAGACTCAAAGTGAACGTTTGCGTTTTGGGCATGAAGCAAATCTGGAAGAACAAGGAACATGTTTCAGTCACCAATCAGTTGTCGTTATGGTCTTTATTCTCCCCTTTCTGTTTTTTTTTTCTTTTTCAACGCAATATGCTTGATGTAACACAGAAAAATATGCTGCAAACAGTTGTGGTATAAATATCTATTCGTATCAGACAGCCTCCCCAATAAATAAATAAATAAACAAATAAATAAATACATTTGAGACTGTGACTCTGTGTCGTTTTAATTTATCTAAATCGAGAGATTCACTTCCGGTTCCTGTTCGTCACAGCCACCCAGAACTGATTGGGCTTACTGTACAAAGCAGAAAATGCACCAAATCTCTTAACGCAGCGTTTAACCTGCATATTGTAACCTACCCGGTCGACCTTGTTGGACGAACTGGTTTGAACTTCCTGTTTAGACCAACATGAACGAACTGCGTCTGTGTGCGTTAGTAGCCCGAGCGTGTTTACAAAGTGCGCAGAGGGTTTTATCCCGGTAGCTAACGCTAGCTGTGCAGCTGCAGTCTGGTCCGCCTTGGCTGCATCATCTAGGGGACAGATTAATTTTAATAAGCGAAGGTAAACCTTAACTCATTTTTGTTTACACCCGTGTAGATCGTTGTAGTTGAAAGTTTGAATGTTGCTACAAATGGAGCTCATCCGAGGTTCTTGCTAATTTGCTTAATTTTTCAAGTGCAGAATGTGTCCGTTTTTGACAAAATGTCTAAAATTACTCAACAATGTTTGCAGGCATTTTTTATGTATGGAAACATGAAGGTGATGCAGTGAGCATGAAAAAATCCTATTCATTTGTTCAGGTCCTTCCTTGCCTGATGCTTTCCAGTTATTGCAGAAACTTGTGGTTGCCAAATCGGAAGAATTTATTTTTTTAATCAATATTGATGTTTTGTGTGCTTCCTCCTCAGATTAAGCACCATGAATCTGCTCCGTATGGTGTGCCGCCATAAGACAGCTCTGGTCATTGGCACTGTTGGCAGTTTTGCTGCGGTCCTCGTCTTTTTGGCCAAATGCACACCAGATACCCTGAAACAGGGCTACTCAGATCCCCTGGGCTCAGCCCCCCACACCAAGGATCTGCAGTACCACACAGACCAGCATAATCCCCTCTCTGTGTCCAAAGACTTGTCAGCATTCCTTGTGGTTCTCATCACAACAGGACCTAAGTACACAGAACGGCGGAGTATCATCCGCAGCACCTGGCTTGCCAAACGGGATTCGGATGTTCTGGCTAAGTTTGTTGTGGGAACCCAAGGTCTGTCAAACGATGACCTTCAAAATCTGAACACAGAACAAGGGCGACACAAGGATTTGCTGTTACTTCCTGATTTGCGAGATTCTTATGAGAACTTGACACTGAAGCTGCTTCACATGTACTCCTGGCTGGACCAGAATGTGGACTTCAAATTTGTCTTTAAAGCTGATGACGACACATTTGCTCGCCTGGACCTCCTCAAGGAGGAGCTGAAGGGTAAGGAATCCAGCAGGTTGTACTGGGGGTTCTTCTCTGGGAGGGGTCGTGTAAAAACAGCTGGGAAGTGGCGCGAAAGCTCCTGGGAGCTCTGTGACTACTACTTGCCGTACGCACTAGGCGGTGGCTACATCCTGTCAGCAGACCTGGTGCATTTCGTGCATTTCAACGCCGGCTACTTCAAGACATGGCAGAGTGAGGATGTGTCACTGGGTGCCTGGTTGGCACCGATAGATGTCCGGCGGCTGCACGATCCGCGGTTTGACACAGAGTATAAGTCACGGGGCTGCAACAACAAATACTTGGTGACGCATAAGCAGAGCTTGGAGGATATGTTGGAGAAACACCAGACGCTGCAGCGTGATGGCAGGCTCTGCAAGGAGGAGGTGAAGCTACGATTGTCCTATATATATGACTGGAGTGTACCTCCCTCTCAGTGCTGCCAAAGAAAAGATGGGATTCCATAATTGTTGCTGACCCAAAAGTTAAATTTAGATTTTTAATATCACATGTTCAGAAATGTAATACTTTCCCACCAAACGTGCATCCATCCATTAGGCCATCAATAGTTGTATAACTGGGACTGTAACCTGAGCAATAGTTTTTGTATAAAACTGAGCACGTTTGCCAAGTTAAAGCTGTTTAACTCACTCGTTTTCTCCTGAATGAAAAAGCCAGTAATTCTGTTATTTTTCACTTGGTACCTCCAGTTTACAACTCTGTTCTCCCATCTGTTCTAAATGTTGTCATGTTGTTCTATTGTTGTAGTTAGTACATGCAAACCCAGATGCCATTATGTGTACCTTTTTTTTCATATAATGTTTTTGTTCAAGCATTTTTTTTTGTATTTATTTATGAACTATTAATTTATTTTCAGTAACAGCGTACCTAGTGTGAACGTGTTTGCAGATTCTGTTTTTCTTTCTAAATATTTTAGAAAAAAATCTGATTTAATGAACAAGAATGTGATTTTGTTTTATTAGTTTTTTAAGATGACTGAATACATTTGAGATGACTGGTTTCCTGTTTCATAGATGATGTGAGGAGTTAGGTACTAACATTTCCAGTACAGCAGTTACACTGACACATACTTACATGTGAATGTTAGCAGCACACTTGACACTTTGTTGCTTTTTTAAAGCAAAAAAAAAAAAAATCTCGTTTTCAAGTCTTGTATCAATTCTTCTTGGTTGTTGTTTTGTCTCTGATGTGAGGCTCTCCAACCTAAACTCTTCCTCTCATCTCAGTAGTGATGTCTGAAATCCTGCAAGAACTTTTATTTGTTGGGAGTCCAAAATAATCTAGGTGAGCTGTAGAGAGCAACTTCAAAGCTCGTTTTTAAAGATGGTACCAGATGCATTTCTGTGAATAGTGATGTAACTCCTCCTTGTTGTCTCAAACAGTCTGATTCAATGCTAATTAGGTTTCTGTGATTGCATTCATGATCGTCCACCTTGAATGTTTTATTAAACATTTTAAATGTGTTTTGTCACCCTGAGTCTCTTTTTCTCCCCATAATTCATCAAAGCAGAGTCCCAAACAGGCAGGTGAGCTTTTATTAATCATTTCAGAATTGTGTGCAGTTTCCAATCATTGGTGGTGTTATTCTAAACAAACATTACTATCATGTTTACTGTGTATCTCTGTAGTCATCTGGCTGAATTAGAGATGTGCTTCAGGGTTTATCATAAACTGGCATGCTCCACTTCCTCTCCTGCTCATACTGGAAGACAGAAAACATCACATCTCAGACATCCCTCTTCATGAGATTGTGAATTTTTCTGCAGATTTAAAGGAGACATGTTTATTTTTTCTTAGATTATAGTACTTCTGCTATTGATAAATATTTAGGAAGTTCTTTGCATAAAATCTCCCATATTAAGCAATTTTATTCTTGGCATTTTCAATACCTTCCAGAATGAGCCGTTTCAGGACTCTCACTCTTTTAGAAAACAAGCTAGACCTGGCCACACTGACCCATCCCTCGTTCAGGCTGCTATAAGCTGAGAAGCTCTGATATCTGGGAGGGGCTCAGAGTAAAGCCGCTGCTCCTCTTGCAGCAGCTCTCTATTGCATTTGCTGGCAAACAGTCACACAGCTTTGCGTTCTCTCATCGCCTGTGACAGAACAGCAGCTCCTGATGGAGCGCTCTGTGTTGGAGACATGCCACTGATTTCCCTCTTTCCTATTCACTCTCTTTACATTTTTTTAATTACAATTGTCTGTTTTTGCTCATTTTAAATATATTTGTAACCATTTTCTAAATTCTTCATATTTTTACATTTTGTTTTTTTTGTGAAGCGCCTCGTGAGTTTTATCTTGAGGTGCTACAGAAATATTTTCTTCTTCACAGGATTTATCAGCTTTTGTGGTTTGATGAGGTCATCTTCCTCCTGTTGTTGATTTTCAGTCACCTGCTGATGCCGACTCATCCAGTGATTTGTCTGAAAGGCACAAAAGCAAGTCATTTTATGCAGCAGGAGAGCTCTGTTTGTGAAAGCACAACAGCATATGTGATTTTGCGTTATTTACCAGTTACATGAATTTTCAGCTGTTTCTATTTCTCAAAAGAAAAAGGAAGCTGTTCTTTGTTATAATTAAACTTTTCATTTTGGGTGACTTGTTTTGGGAGGCCTGAATAAAAACAAAAATTGAAGATGGAGAAACAAACATGTAACTAAACAAACCTTCAATCTTTTAGATATACAGTTAGGTCCATAAATATTGAGATGTCGACACAATGCTAACATTTTTGGCTATACACCACCACAATGGATATCAAATGAAACGAACGAGATGTGCTTTAACTGCAGACTGTCAGCTTTTATTTGAGGGTGTTTACATCCGAATCAGGTGAACGGTGTAGGAATTACAACAGTTTACATATGTGCCTCCCACTTGTTAAGGGACCAAAAGTAATGGGACAGAATAATAACCATAAATCAGACTTATACATTTCAATACTTGGTTGCAAATCCTTTGCAGTTAATTACAGCCTGAAGCCTGGAACACATAGACATCACCAGATGTTGGGTTTCATCCCTGGTGATGCTCTGCCAGGCCTCTACTGCAACAGTCTTCAGTTCCTGCTTGTTCCTGGGGCATTTTCCCTTCAGTTTTGTCTTCAGCAAGTGAAATGCATGCTCAGTCAGATTCAGGTCAGGTGACTGACTTGGCCATTGCAAAACAGTCCACTTCTTTCCCTTCAAAAACTCTTTGGTTGCTTTTGCAGTATGCTTTGGGTCATTGTCCATCTGCACAATGAAGCGCCGTCCAATGAGTTCTGAGGCATTTGGCTGAATATGAGCAGATAATATTGCCCAAAACACTTCAGAATTCATTGTGCTGCTTTTGTCAGCAGTCACATCATCATTAAATACAAGAGAACCAGTTCCACTGGCAGCCATACATGCCCACACCATGACACTTCCAGCACCATGCTTCACTGACGAGGTGGTATGCTTAGGACCATGAGCAGTTCCTTTCCATCTCCATGCTCTTCTCTTCCCATCACTCTGGTACAAGTTGATCTTGGTCTCATCTGTCCATAGGATGTTGTTCCAGAACTGTGAAGGCTTTTTTAGATGTTGTTTGGCAAACTCTAATCTGGCCTTCCTGTTTTTGGGGCTCACCAATGGTTTACATCTTGTGGTGAACCCTCACACACTGGTGGAGTCTTCTCTTGATTGTTGGCTTTGACACAGATACACCTACCTCCTGGAGAGTGTTCTTGATCTGGCCAACTGTTGTGAAGGGTGTTTTCTTCACCAGCGAAAGGATTATTCGGTCATCCACCACAGTTGTTTTCCGTGGTCTTCCGGGTCTTTTGGTGTTGCTGAGCTCAGCGGTGCGTTCCTTCTTTTTGAGAATGTTCCAAACTGTTGTTTTGGCCACGCCTAATGTTTTTGCTATCTCTCTGATAGGTTTCTTTTGTTTTTTCAGCCTAATGATGGCTTGCTTCACTGATAGTGACAGCTCTTTGGATCTACAGCAACAGATTCCAAATGCAAATAGCACACTTGAAATTAACCCTGGACCTGTTATCTGCGCATTGTAATTGGGATAATGAGGGAATAACACACACCTGGCCATGGAACAGCCGAGAAGCCAATTGCCCCATTACTTTTGTTCCCTTAACAAGTGGGAGGCACATATGTAAATTGTTGTAATTCCTACACCGTTCACCTGATTTGGATGTAAACACCCTCAAATAAAAGCTGATAGTCTGCAGTTAAAGCACATCTTGTTCGTTTCATTTGATATCCATTGTGGTGGTGAATAGAGCCAAAAATGTTAGCGTTGTGTCGATGTCCCAATATTTATGGACCTGACTGTACATAAATCAAACAACAAAAAAGAAAATGGAAATGCACACACATTTCTTGGAGTATTGCACCAAATCGTATTTAGCTCCGACAAATTAAAAGTTGCAAAAGGGTTTAAAGCTTAGAAAGATTCTATTTATTACCCCTTCTAGGAAAAATGAAAACTAATTGAAACAAATTCACAATGTGATTATTTTGTAAAAAATAAAAATAAAAAAAATAAAATGATAAAAGGAGCAATTTATGGGCAAAATTGCAAATGTTTGGGAATCACTTTTTTGTCTACTTGTGTTTCATTTATTAAATGTAATTATGTAAAGAAATTAGTAAATTTTGGATTTTATATTTGGTGTTAGAAACACAGGCTGTTAGCTGGAATAAAAAAATAATTCAGATCAGAGTTTGAGTATTAACACATGAGATGCAGAAGATTATCTTCTTCTTCTTCTTCTTCTTTTTTGTTTTATTCAATTCCAATTTCCTCCTCAAACAAATATCTTACCTGTGTGCTCTGGTAAAGATGCATTGGAGGTTCCACAGACGAGGTGTTTGGCACATTGAGCTGCAGCTCTGATCAGAACATCCTGTGTCTCATATAACCCTTGGCTCTACCCTTGTTACCTCCAGTGGAAACTTCTGTCGTCTTTGTGCAGCAGCTGTTCCAATATGCAGAGATTAGGATTTTGATGTACACTGATTAAAATAACACAAACCCATCATTTGAAATCACGCAAAATGGGATTATCGCTTTTTGATTGTTTTTGTCAGTTTTAAGCCAGAGACATTTATACAGACATAGAAAATCTTGTGAATGAAAGGAGGGCTGGAGCAAACTACAAACTACACATCATATAGACCTCAGGAAACAGTGGATCTGTAACTCTGATGATGACAAGTATATCGAAACGTTAGTTCATAATTCTTTTTGCACCCATTAAAGAATTTCCAGGACCAGTTTGCTCCAGCCCCCCTCCGTTCATTCACAGTTTGATGTGCTACACACTGTCAGAGCACCTGTGTTCCAAATTGGATGATGCACAGCGTGCTCGTCGATTATAGAAAATCTTGTTTTAAAAGGTACCTCTTTTCTTTAAAACAGAAATGAGAATTAATGACATTGATTTAAAGGTACAGTATGTAAGAATACAGTAAAATTTTTACAGAGAGAAAATCGCAAAAGAGTCTAATGTTTCAGTCATTTTGGAAGGAAGGTTATACTGAAACATATTTCTTATCCAGCTGGCTGTGAGATTGTCAGTTTTTATCCTTTCAAAACAAAGGAAGGAGGGACGTAACTACTGTTTACCATCAGTGAGTGTGGTTGTGCAGTTTCTTTGCTAAATAAACTTTGATTTTACTTACTTTTAATCAGCCATTTGATTTGGTTGAACATGCTTTTATATATATATATATATATATATATATATATATATATATATATATATATATATATATATATATATATATATATATATATATATATATATATATATATATGTGGGAACGACAAGCCAAGATGTGCAAGGCCATGAATGCATATTCACAGTGTGACATTACAGTGTGAGGATTTTCAAATCATAGCATGTTACCATCTATTTTGTATCAGAAGCTAACCCAGGAGATGTGTAGGAGACTGCTTTAATGTTCAGCCTGCATGAAAAAGTCAGAATGACCAATTATAATCAGAAATAACCATTAAAAATGTTTTTTCAGTCAACCACACATCTAAAAGTCAAAAATTTAAATACATTTAATATACAAGTATGCAAAATTAGTATAATTATATCTACAAAAATGCCTCAGTTTTATTTTCTTATTGTTCAAAGGAAAAGCTTCTTGTAAAAATGTATTATCATCATGATACTGAAAGTGAAATATGCATTTTTAGGAACGGAGAAGGAAGTGACGCGCCACCATCAGCATCAGCCTGAGGAAGCCTGCAGCCGCCGGCGAAACGTAGTGACAAAACAGGTAAACAAAACTGTTTCTGTGTTTTAAAAAGAACAACAGCATGGAATTACATGCATTTTTATTTTTATGTATATTGTATTAATTACTAATGACTCTATGCCATTCTTGAGATTCAACATTTAGATTTGCGTCAATGAAGTGAGTTCATGGGCACATCAGAATAAGGCAGTTTTGGGAGATGTTGAACTATATTCCACTAGGTGACAGTATTGTCAGTTTGAGATGCTCAAACACACAGAGAAGCCTGATTTAACTTTTTATGCACGTGTGAGGAGGATGGCATGTAATAATAAAATGTGTTGTACAAAATGTATTATATATCCTGACAACACTTTTATCAATTGTAGTTAAACTTCTGAGACAAATACAGCACAAAATGTGTTGTGGATTTTCAAACACAGACAATTGCCCTAATTTAGATTATCTGTTTCCATAGAAAATAAAGAAATTACTAATTATCTTATAACTATTAATTAGGTATAACACAAGGATTTTGTTGGACTAAAGAAATGGCAGTTCTCTGTTTATTTCTCCTCTGCCAGACCCTTGTTCTACATCTAGTCCACTAGGTGGCGGTAAAAGCACCAATCGGCAGCTTTGTCAACCGCTAATCAACCCACGAAGTAGAAAAAGAACTCAGAGAAACGGAAATATCAACCGAAGAAGTGCTATGCGGATCTGAAGGTGTCACAGTTTAGTTATTTTATAGAGTATATAATGGATTATTAATCGTCAGGAAGAAGTAGTCATATAACAACACCAGAGACCAAACTTCAAATATGACTAATGGTACGTAGACTGCTTTATCCGACAAGTTAGCGGCACAAGTTGGGTAACTTCTGGGAGGAGGAGCTAGCATGCTATTGGAAGCTAGTAGCGAAGCTGTAGACGTGGCCCTGCTAGCCTTCTTATTAAAACCACAATTAACGGAACACTCTTGACTCGATGATGTATTTTGTTAATAGTTTGAGATAAATTGCTAAGTTGTATTCAGTATAAAATGTGTAAATCGAATCCTGCAAACTAATGAGTTTCCAGGCAATTTTTGAGGGGTCAACTTAGTTTACACAGCAGAATAGCCCAGCTGTTTTTAAACTGGGCAACACAAACTAAATTGCTCAAAGGTACACTTAAAATAACAATAATAATCCTTTTAATGACAGATGTTCGCAGTCTGACTATGACGATAACAAAGTGACACATGTTTTGGAAATGGAAACTAACATTTGAGTCACTTGGATGTTATGATATTAGCTTTTATTAAAACAGTGAAGAGCAAAATATTAAACCTTAAATTTCTTTACAGTTAATGTCCAATAAAACAAACATTTTTATAAATCAGTAAAATAAAGATAAGTTTAAAGACAAAATCAAGCTTCATAGAAGCAGTATTATGTCTTTAAAATGGCCACAGTGTTACCACAGTGTCTTATTCTAATTTAGTCCATGTTAGATTATTCAGTTTTATATAACATATGTGTCAGTGTATCTATTGTCACTCCATCACATTGTGAGTAAACTAACATTTGAAAATGAAATCAGAATAAAATGTGCACAGCTAAGGGGTTCTTGGGCCAAATTTTGACATTGTCTTTGTTTCCTCCTGCAGTGTACTCCTTTGATGGCATCCTTGTTTTTGGGCTGCTGTTTATCTGCACTTGTGCGTACCTGAAAAAGGTGCCTCGTCTGAACAGCTGGCTGCTGTCCGAGAAGAAAGGAGTGTGGGGCGTCTTCTACAAAGGTAAATGAATTGGGAAGCACACTAATGTAACGTCCAGCTATGGTCAGTTTTAGGTACAGTTTGACCATTCAACATCTATTCAACATCTGGTCAAACAGGAGACACAACACTGCATGTGTTCTCTTTAAATAAGCCTGCCTCCATACCAGCTGGAGCTCACAGAATCTGCAGCTCTGACAACAGATAATGACATGACAACAATAACTTTCTTTCCCCAAGGCCTCCACATAAGGAACACTCCAGCTCGGATCAGTTGCTAAACCAAGAATGATTTCCTAAATCAATATGAACTATTCCACGACTTATAATCTAGATAATCATTAAATAAACGTTTGTTTATTGCTACTTATAGTAATTATATTATAATGAAATGCTTCATTAATCTGTGCTCAATGATTGAAGTGTGAAATGAATGTTATGTCTACAATGATTGCAATGTGGTTCTGCAGGTTTATATGGCAGAGGTCATAACATCTGCACTCACACAATAACAAGTACGGTTAGGTTAAACTCTGGCACATAGTCTTTTTACCCAGTCAGAACATCCGGTATCAAGGAAGGGTGTTTCTGAGTTGTCTTGGTAACATCTCTCAAACCTGTCAGCCTTTGATTGGCTGTGGAAATAATAACATCAAAACCTTAAAACTGGATCACCTTGGGTGATTCAGCAGTTCTAGAGAAAGTTTCAGACTGGCCATCTGAAGTAGAACCTCTTTAACCATCAAAGATTTTGACACGTCGTCAAAACCTTTTTGCACCTGCAAAGCTGATACAGTAAACAGTTCCTGAGAACAAAGCTGATATTGTTAGACTCCTTAAAGAGTCCCAGACGCGCGGCTCCATCCAGCTGCTGTGACCCGAGACATCTCTGGACTGAAGAGTCAGTACCACGGTATTCTACAGCCCTCCGGTGCCAGAGGTCAGCCGACCCCTGTGACCTTCAGATCCACCACGAGGGTCTCCAAAACGGGTGAAGTAGACATGACAGATTGCGTCTGATGTGTCTTTGATAAGAACTTCATAGTTTATGCAAACCAAATTCTTTTACATCCAGAACTCAGCATTCCTAGATAAGGAGGTTCTGACTAACACCGCATTCACACATAGTTACACATCACATTTAGTTCCATCCACTCACAGTAAATGCTTAGTTAACTAGTCTTGTTTTAATTGCTTGTAAAAAAAAATTCTTACTTTTCTAAACCTGACTCTTTTCTGAATCAAAACAAAGTGTTTACAATTACTTAATAAAGCAAAAATCCTAGAATCTTCTGATACGTACAATAAAGATCAAGCAGGGTTGATATTTTATATTTAAATGGAGTATCACAGCTTATTGGTCATAAGTAGAGATAATTGTATATGTTGAGCTCTTAAAGCACTTAATTTACCGAACGCTACACTAATAATGTAAAACCAACACCGCTCATTTTTGATACTATTTTTTACATTTGATGGTTAAAAAAGCTGTTGGAAGCCAGTGTTGACTATGACCACAAATCTTTATTTAGTTTTAGTTTGAGTGTTTTGAATAAAATTTGTTATTATTTTTTTCAAGATTTTGTCAGTTTATTCAATTTGTTCGAGTCTGTTTATAGTTGGCTAAATAAAAATAGGTAACTGGTAAGAAGGCCTGGTTTTACAGTGTTACAGAAGGTCTTGGCAGAAAAATACCCAAGAAAATGGTGTTGAGCAAATGCACAAGAACAGCTAATTACACAATCTTGATCAGAAACTGAGTTTTGACTTGAATGCTGCTCTCGGTTTACTTTTGCTAAACCACGACTAGTTGTCGAAAGGCACTTAACAGGGTAAATGTTCCAATACATTTTTTTTCAATAAGCCAATGCTACTAATTATTTTAACTTGCAGTCAATCTGATTATTTAGGTCACCAAGAAGAATTTGGATCACTACTGACTGATCTGAAGGACCTTTTTACTCACAATGCTAGTTGGATCCATTCACTTACTGTGTTTTATGCTAAGCTAAACTGAAAGGACTACAGCCAGGTCAGGAGAATGACTGGGCTGGTTCAAAATATTTTTTCCCACTTATCCAACTCTGGAAAATATGTCAACAGACAGAATTTCAATTTTGGGTGGAATGGCCTTTTAAGTGCTCTCTATTTGTATGTGTTATATTTCTGTTTCTAACCCTTGTTTTCTTTCTCTCTCTCTCTCTCTCTCTCTCTCTCTCTCTCTCTCTCTCTCTCTCTCTCTCTCTCTCTCTCTCTCTCTTCTCTCTCTTCTCTCTCTCTTCTCTCTTCTCTCTCTCTCTCTCTCTCTCTCATATCATCTCTGATTCCCAGCTGCAGTAATTGGGACAAGGCTACACATTGCTGTAGCTCTTTGCTGCTTGGTCTTGGCCTTTTACGTTATCTTTTTAAAGTGATTGTCAGCCTGGAGCATGGAGGACTGGGGATGGACTCATACCTGCAGTCATACACTTCTCTTTGCGAGGATGCTTCTCTGTGACTGATGAGACCCCACTGGCTACATGGACCATTAAAAAGCCAGCGCTGCCCCCTTCAGACGACTACGTAATCAACTCCTGCCTGAACACAAATGTGTGCACTACAAACCGGGGGTGGGGGACATTGGAGAAAGCCTGCTGGTTGACTTGGTGTCATTCTGTTTTTGGGTTGTAATATTTTCTGTATCTATCCAAACCCAGTGGTTATTTCTACTGAAGGATGTGAAACATTGAAGGGCAAAGCGTGCATTATCCATCTTACCTGCATACAGTTTGTCAGTCTAGTTATATATATTTGAATAAGATTTGCTAGAAATTATATGTGATCAACTTTATATGATCAGCCCTGCTTGCTCCCATGTTGTTTGTTTTACCACGGGTGGTGGGAGACATAAAGCTAATATATACTGATGTCCTTGTCCACACTTTTCTTTTTAAAGTCTTGTTTCAGTTCAGTTTGTCTCTGAAATGTCTCTGGGTTTCAGTCACATAGACATTTTGCACATGTGTAAATTGTACATATTTTGTCCTTAAACTTATACTGAATAACATGTTTTAATACCAGAAAATCCAAGTTACAAAGATGGCTCCAAATGTGTACCTGAGTCACTAAAAATAATAAAAATGAAGCTCATATTAAACTGGGTTTAACATGCCTGAGGATGTCAAAGCTATGCCAAATAGAGATGGTGCTCACACCATGTTATTGATTTGTTCTCATCCTGACTTTACATCTGACACCGTATTTGTTCAAAATAAATGGTTTTAAATGGACTGAATGCAATTTAGAGTAAAATGTTCCAACACTAAAGTTCTCTTATTTTTTATATTGTTTAAAGTTTCCTTATCTCTGACTCATGCTGTTATCACATTCACATTAGGATTGGAATTTTTCCTAGTTAGTCCTCTTTGTCAGTATATAATTTAAAGGTGCAGTATGTAAGAATATAGTGAGAATTTTACAGTGAGAAAATCCCAGAAGTCTAATGTTCTGTCATTTTGGAAGGAAGGTTATACTGAAACATATTTCATATCCAGCTGTGGGTATTGTCACTTTTTCTCCTTTAAAAGCAAAATAAGGAGGGACATAACAATTTACCATCAGTGAGTGTGGGGGTGTCGTGCCTCCTGCAAGCTAATACTGCAGCGCCCACAATTGTAATTTGACGACAGCTGGCCAAAAGCTCCAGAGTTGTTCAAAGTGGTTGCAGTGACCCAATTTGACCAGATGTTGTTTTATTCCATGTCTACACAATTCAGCTTTAAATTTATTTCAAATGTAGAATGCTGTGTGAATTTGCTGACTGACAACTGAGAAATCCTCACAGCTTAACCCCCAGAATGCATTGTGGTGGTCACAGTTTATTGATGCTACAAGGAGTGTAAAGTTTTGAGCTGCTAAAACATAGCTTGAAGTTTTTTTCTTTAAGCTTTCAAACTTTCAATTTTTGCAAAATGTTAGTCTCTTTGAAAACAGATGTTTGCATCTGCTACCTTTTCACATGTACATAATATATTTCAGTTAAAGTCACCCATTACCTCCAATACATTTCATAGGTACTTACAGCCACTGATGCACATCTCACAAGCGTTTCCAATTTTACAGAGAAACATGATTATTGTGATAATACATGCAAATATTACTTTATTATTTAGAAAAAATATTTTTGCTGATATTTTAGACCCCCCAGCAGACATTTTTACACAGCAAGAGCATGGATGAAAAGAAAGATGGCTGAATATGTTCAAGTAAGCAAGATCAATAGATTTTCCAATGAAAAAACATAGAAACAAACAAAATGTATCCTATCCATGTGAGTGTAACTGGGTGTTTACCTGTTATGTTTGATGGACTTATATGTTGCATATTCTGCTTGTTCTTATTTAGATTGAGCAATATCTTGGCAGGGAACTGGTGCATGACTGTTACGAGAACCTCTAATAATACTGAGAGCTCTTGTATCTCTCCCAGAAAAGGATTTCCAAGGAGGGGAAATGGACCACAATTCATTTAAGTACATTAATAATGAAGATTGTAGAGTCTAAGCAAAAATTAATCAATTTTACAATCACAATGACTGCATTTCAACAAAAATTATAACAAACAAGCTTCCAGTGCAATCAAATTACAGTGACTTACAATTTACAGGTTTATATGCCTATCATTTTCAGACAGGAAAATCCAACAAAAACCTCAGGAAAAATTAAGTGTAGATCACAAAAATGGAAGAAAAAACGTGTGCTTGTTTAAAGAATGAATAATTACATTTAAGAGGGTGTTATCAGCGCTTTTGTCTATATAAATATCATTATTGGGTGGGAGTAGTAGTTTATTTTAGTTCGATATGATTCCGTCGTGACATTTTTAACATTACTGCTGGCTTATTGGGTTGCTTGTATTTAAGACTGACTCAACATGACTGAAACGCTGTAAACACGACAGGAGGGAAATTCCCGCTATCCTCCCTAACAGCAGTCACGCTCTCGCGAGAAAACCGTTTACGCAGCGCAGTGACTCTTGAACGTGCGCGCTCTCGCGTCCCTGCGCGCCTAGCAGCGAAGAGAATAGGGCAAGAATCCGGCGAAAGATCCAGCGAAAGCCAGACTGAGCTTCCTGACTCCGACGCCCTCGGTACGCCAAGTTGCCCCAGTTGCTGAAACGTGCACGGAGAGCGGATTTTTCTTCTCTAACCTGAGCTGCAGCGCTGCTGTTTGCCCGGCTTGGCGGGAGAAGTTTTGCTCGTTTCGGGGCCGTGTCGGTGTAGAGTTTTTACAGGAGAGCGGTACCACCGCGCGTCGTTTCACTCTGGGAGGAGAGGAGAGGGTAGAAGTTTCCGCTGGGTTGTTTTGTCACTGCAGGGCTGTTTGTGAATCGGCAAGAATGTCGCAGAACGTGAGACCCACTTTTTATCGACAAGACCTCAACAAAACCACGTGGGAAGTCCCAGAGCGCTACCAGAACCTTTCTCCCGTTGGCTCCGGTGCTTACGGATCCGTGTGGTGAGTAGCTGCTGCTGGGCAGCAGAGTCCTATCGAAAGCACACACATTAGCGCGATTGCACAACGACCAAGCTGCTCTTCACTGCCATCGGAGGCCCCTCGGGGCTGCTTGTCCGCCTGCAAAGGGCGTTCGTTGAAGAAGACACTACATATCACCTCCAATTGTGCCTTTTGTTTACATATTTATACTTTTGTTGGAGTACAACGTGCACTTTTCCAGAATGATCGGAATTGTTTTTGTGCACACGCTCGCTGTCCCACACACCTGTCCTACTTACCTCCTATCCTGTAAACAAATATTTACCACCTGTTTTTGTGGAACACACAGAGGGGTTACTATTCAGTTGCTGTGTTTTCTGCGCGGAGGCTGCTTGATGGCATGTCCACACTTGCTTCTTACGAAAGGAGGAGATATGTCCCCCATCAGTCAGCAGATGAGTGTAGATTGTACCGTGAGGGTTAAGCACCATAGGCGAGAATACCGTTGTACTCCTCCGTGTACAACCTGCTACTTGACACATCCGCGAGCTACATACATTATGCATTTTCCAGTTGGGTGCAGCCTGCAGAGTACCAGGAGGTCACGTGGTTTTCGGAAAGTAGGCCCCCCTCGCGCACAGTAGAGAGCTTTTCTACAGGATACCATCCGATGAGGAGGATGGTGACTAGAATGATGTCATCCTTTCTCCCCCTAGTGTTACACGCACATGACTCACTGTCCCGAGGTGAGGTAGTGTCCTCGGACCCTCTGCTCGCCCCTGCTGCTCATTCTGCCCCGGATTTCACACTCTAAGCAACAAGAAGGAAAGAAAACATCTACTGCGTTAATAATTCTGTATAAGTTTCATACTAGACCTTTGATTCAGCATGTTTACATTGTGCCTAACTGCCAGTGGTCACATCTGCAGCTGTTTGATCTCTCTGCAGCTGCTCTTTGTGGCTTTAAATAAAAATTATATGAAAATTAATACAAACATTTGTTGTAATTTTTGCAAATATTTGAGTGCAATCTTTCTGGTGTGGGAACAGGCGAAACAGTTTAATTCTTCCTCGAAACGAAACCTTTAAAAACAATTAGACAGCGTGCATGACAGAATTAAGGTTACATTGACTTATGGGGGGATTCTACACAGATATGTAAACAATTAGAGGTTGACCGATATTGGCTTTTCTGTTGCTGATTCCAATGCAGATATTTAGAAGACATGGTCAGCCCTGACACCTTCCACCTTATTTTCATGCTCGAATGTCACTAATAACATCAGTTGATGCTCAACATTTTTGAAGCTGAATCTGTTTTTGAACTCTGAATTTAACCAACTGTTAAATCTTAACTTTTTGCACTGCTCAGCGTTAAAGTCAGATGCTTAAAGTTAATGCTGCTGAAGGTTCTGAGTCATCCAGGTCATGGCAATCCAAAAGGGTTCTAATGACGAGTGGTAACTGGAGCATTTGCCTTCATTAGAATCCTTTTGGATTAATTTAGATATTTATTAAGCAGATATTATATTATTAGTGAATGTAAATACATTTAAATAAAATTCTGCAACAGCACTGGGCCGCCAGAGGATGTGCTTGGCTTTAAATAAAAAAATATATATTTTCATTTAAATTAGGATGCAAGCATGCATCATTACTTCAAAATCAGAAACCTAATAATTTTTCATCAAATTTAGAAAAGAGACCATTTTTTCTGTGACTTATTATAGTTTTATAGATAATTTTTACTCATAGTGAGTTATTTCATGCTGTATACACATTTTGCAGCTCTGTAAATTTAATTTACCATCAAAATGACCTGAAAAGGCTCTAATGATTGTAAAGGATGCAGACACCTGCCAAAAAATTCAACTTTTCTTTACTTATGTGACTGAGTTTGCTTGGAGTTTGCATACAATAGACACCTGCCTTCTTTCACCTGTTGTCATCTGTATCAAAGACTGTTTTACCTCAGCACCTTCAAGTAAATCCTCCATCCAGAAGGGTTCAAACACATCAGTGTCTTTAAATCTTCTCAGAAGAAATCTGAAAAGTAGGAATGCCATGCTACTTACACTTCCTCTATTATGTCACAGCTGGTCAGTCAGCTGATGGTCTTTGCTTTTGCTACCACAATGCCTTCAAAGTCTTTCACAACTCTTCTTAGAATTCACAACGAAAGAGTTAATCATACCCATTGCTGACATTCATTTTCAGGACAAACGAACAACTCTTTAAGCATTTAAAATACTGCTTAAGCTAAACATGCATCCGTGGAATATGGATTTGGGTTTTCCATGCATTAACTGTGCTGTGGTTGTTGGTTCTACCCTCAGAGAAAAGTATGCCCGACGTTTTGGCTTAAGCTCAAAACCTGCAATTTTCCACCTGGTCAGGTTGGACCGAATGCATGAGTGATGTCACTGAAGTGCACCCATTCATTTTTGCCTAAAGTTCTGGATTAGCGCTTGAGCTCTCGCGAAGCAGCTCGGCATGCAGAGTTTAGAAACCTAACATAGTTCGAAAAATGTGATTTGATCTAAGAATTTGAATTCAGATCCACAAATGCAAGAAAATAAATGGTATATCGAGTCTTGAAGATGATTGAACACATAAAACAGTTTTAAAAACGGTTTTGTTCCTCAAGGGTTTCATTCTTATTGGCTGCTGAGGCTTTAGCGTCATACCTGATTATCCTTCTGTCAGTTCCTGTCATAAAACTGATGTTGATACCAGTGTGCCGTTTTTCTGCATGGGTGCATCGAAGTATGATCACTTTAAGGAGAAGCACATTGGTATTAAAGTGATCATTTTAATATAGTAATAATGGGTGTGCCACTGTAGTAGCTAATGCATTAGTCAAACCCTGTATTGTACAAGGGGCATGAGCTGACTCAGATTTAAAGGCTTTTCTTGTGAAAATCCACCGAGACATGACAAAGCACTTATTACAGATATCTCAACAAGTCATTTAAAGGCTACATTTGCGTGTTTGCTCACTTTGCGTGCCTGTTAGTCAGCCGACTGGCTCTTCGTTTCCCTGTGAAGCCAGCCTCATGACGTTGCTCCTTTTACAGCCTGTGGTTTATTGCAGTTCCATTTATTCTGGACTAATTAGATGATGTAAGCTTAGACGCTTCTTGTTTGCCCCTTAGATTGGCAGCAGTTTCAAACACTTGGTGTCTGTTGTTAGTTATTTGGTGTCATTGTTGTATGTGTGCTAAGTACGGGCTTTCCCTCACTATAGTGGAACATGCACAGGCTGTTCTGCAAGCCTAGAACACTAGTGGGTGTGGAAGATTATCTCTGACTAACTGGAAAAGTAGAACAAAACATTGCTTATCTTAATGTTTTCCATCTGGATGCATGGCACCCTGGGTAATAATTCTCTATCAAGAACGAAATTGGTGGAATTAAACATATTCAATCCTCTAAGTTCAGAGGTTACACGGTTCAGATTTCTCTGAGGAAATGAGCCTCCTGTCATCCTGCTTGGGTGTTTACTCAGTGTTAGAGCTGAACCTTTGGCTGAGAGGACACAGTTCAGCTCCTGACAGCTTCAGACTCTCTGTTCCACCTCCTGATTTCAAAAAGTTTAATCTGAAGTTCCTCATTCAGATTTGGATGGTGTACAGGCTGGGCTAGCAGAAGCATAAACGTCTATATCCGCGGCATCAGCCTCCATCCAGACCCATTTAGCAGTCGTCCTTGTTTTTATGCAGATTAGATGATTGACCTGGAAGGAATGTGGGTTATTGCAAGCTCGTTATGTTTCTCACAGATACAGGAGATGCAGGCCCATCTGCTTGTGTGTGTGTGTGTGTGTGTGTGTGTGTGTGTGTGTGTGTGTGTGTGTGTGTGTGTGTGTGTGTTGGATACGCATGTTAAACAGTATCTATACAATACTTTAGACATTTTAATCAACACAAATAAGCTGTTTTATAATAAAACATGTTTGATTTGTTCTACATTAATACCTTAATAAAAATATTTGGTCATACAATTTGATTCTACTTTTCTTAAAGGGATAGTTTGCGACTTTTTCATATTTTAAAATCATTTTCTTGAGCCAGTATGTGCTAAAATGACCCTTTACAGTAGGGTTGCACGATATTAGGAAAACCTGCGATATTTGATAACAGTGGTTAATATTGCGATGACGATATTACCTGCGATAAATAAAAACTTAACTCAGGAACAAAAATAATCAAAAACAAAGGAATAACAAAAATCATAAAAATGAGAAAAGCAAAACATGTGAGGAAGGGGCTAGGGCTGTCGCGGTAACCGCAAAAATGAAATATCGCGATATGAAGAAGCCCACCGCGCTGCATCATGCGCCACCGCGATTACTGAACTTGGTTCAACTCAATGATGCATGTTGAGAAGGATGGCTGCACTGGTATCAAAACGAAACGTTACTTCGCTCCTGTGGGAGCACTTTGGTTTTCAGTACGTCAGCTGCTGCGCAGCCAGAGTCCTTGGCCGAGACGGAGCTGCCACCAGCGGCAAAAATAAATAAATAAATGCTCGGAGACCTGCTGAAGTCCCGGACAAGCACTGCTTCTGCAGCCGTCCCGAACAGAGTTTGAGCCGAGCTGGAGCTCACTCGCTACCTGCAGGAGGAATGCATCCACCCTAAAGAAAACCCCCTGACATGGTGGAGCAACAACCGGGAGAGATTCTCTTTGCTCGCCAGAGTCGCACGCAGGTACGTGTGCGTTAGTGCAACGAGCGCACCATCCGAGAGGGTTTTCAGTGTTGCTGCAAATGTTGCCACCCCTCTCAGATCCTCTCTCAAACCGTAGTTAACATGCTGGTTTTCCTTGTGGGTAACAAGGACGTGACTGAGCTATAAATCACCGTCATTCGTGTGTGTGAAAGTGAAATGATAGTGCGCCCGCCCCCCGGCGCGCGCTCCCGGTACATGTAATTGTTTATGCTTGATTTTAAACAACTAAACAAAATGGGGACTTGTTTCTTATTTGTTAGATGCTGCAGCCAAATTTGCATTTAAAAGTTTAACCTTCTCCTGAATTTTGTTGTTTTTAAGTTCAGTCGGACTCCGACTGTCGGAGAAACAAGCGTTACTGCGATCTGCGTTGTTACTGCCCTTTGATCTGCATTCAGTAAAGTGTTATTAAAGAAGGCACGGCAATTTTTAACCATTTTTAAATGTGTAAACATTATGTTTAGATAGTACTGCAATAAAAAAGTGCTGCAATAATATCGCACACCGCAATATTAAGCCACCCTGAATCACCGCAGGAGGAATTCCTCAACCGCGACAGCCCTAGAAGGGGCAAAAGAAAATGAACAAGAAAAGGCAATCAGTGGATCCCGGGAAAAGGGGAGTCAGCCAAAAGAGCAGAACAAAGCCAACTCAGGTGTTTGCTAACCATCAAAATGAAGTGCCGTCCGCCTTGGATGGCGGGCATCTAACTGAGAACCCACCCGATTGGCCAAATGGGTGTAGAGCTCTATTTGATTTGTTAAAAAAACATCATGCTTCTCTTTGATTGACAGAATGCATTATGTTTAGCAAACATTTGAGCTGACCATTCATTGCGATATTTATCTGTTCTTTGCGATATGCATATTGCGCATGCTGATATCGCGATAACGATATATTGTGCAGCCCTACTTTACAGGTGTTATGAAAGGCCACCCAGCCCCTATTGCCCCCTGTGGCTAGAATATTCCACTTGCAACGTCAGACTGGTGGCGGCTCTGTTGGGACTTTTAAAAAATGGAGCTGACATAGCTGGCGCTGCAGTCTGCGTCCAGCAGTCTGCATGTTTTAGATTATGAAAACAGCTGATTTGTATAATTTAGTGATGGACCACTCATGTAGACACTAAGGAAGACTGGGAGACGTTTCAGCTGTTAGATTAAGGTCTTAAATAGACAAATGCACAGTGAAGAGATGGTTTTGGCTTTCAGTTCTACAAACGGACACTAGGGGGTGCCAACACTGCCTGGTTGCCCTTTAATAAAAAGTATGTGATTATATCATTTAATCAGTTAGTCCAACCAAGGAAAAGGTTTGCAAATTAGCCTCTGGCTAAAACCTCTGTACAAAACAGCGGTTGCATTGCCCTTACATGTAACGTTGTGTTTGTGTTATCCTTGTACAATAAACCCAATCTACATGGAGCACATTTCACTCTCTTTTCTATCTGCTGTATTTACTTTCAAATATGCATTTGTTATATTAGTGTTGTGGCTTATGAGGAGGAATGCCATCAACACCCACATAGATAGAAGAAAACTGCTTTTAATGTGCTGGTCCCTATGCATGAAAGGATTCTTGTAAAAGAGAAATGTTGTCCTCTTTTTGGTGCTGCAGAGGTTTTTTTTTACTCTCTTCTGACCCTTTACATAAAAGCTCATATTTAACAGCAACAAGTTTATTCTGTAGTTGTCAGCAGCTTGTTTTAATGCATTCACTTGGTTCTTCCTCACATGTTTCAAATCTGTTATTTATTTGCAGCTCGGCATATGATGTGAAGACAGGACTGAGGGTAGCAGTGAAGAAGTTGTCCAGACCTTTCCAGTCCATCATCCACGCAAAGAGAACGTACCGAGAGCTGCGGCTGCTCAAACACATGAAGCACGAGAACGTGAGTGTTCGACGTTCAAACCGTTGGCTGCTTGGTGTAGTTTCCTCATTCAGAGTGTTTCAAAAAGACTTCGAGGTTACAGGTTAAAGTTATGTAAGTACGTTTGTCTCAGTTGCTTGGCAGAGAAAAACAAAAGTGAAACATTTGGCTCTAGCTACCTGAAAAAAATCCTTTGCTCCAAACTTAAAGGCAGCATGCGTTTGTTTGTTTGGTGCATAAACCCAGACGAGTGCACCGACCATCTGCTGTCAGCGTCGTGTCCTTTTAGGAGAGGCTTCCTTGCATGGATCTCCTGCAGCGCTGTTCTGCTGAGTGCAGGATGAGCCAACAAACGGGTTTCCTAATTCATTCTCCCCATCACATTTTGTTCTGAGGTTGTCCTCTCACTTAATCACAGCAGCAGTTTTTGAGTCTGGGCAGCACCTTCAGTTGGCCTCCCACAGTCACAGCTTTAATTTTGGTGGGCGTGCACATGCAGGCGCTGGCCCACATGCAAAGATTTTAGAGTAAAGAGGCTTTTGTGGAAAACTATGGGCTAGGATTTCTAAATCTGGTTGCAGGTGACTGGATTTTCTCTCTCTCTCTCTCTCTCTCGCTCTCTCTCTCTCTCTCTCTCTCTCTCTCTCTCTCTCTCTCTCTCTCTCTCTCTCTCTCTCTCTCTCTGTGTAGACTGTTAACTCATTCACTGCCAATGACGACTAAAGTCGTCATTTGCATTTTTTTTACTGTTTGAGCATCGAAACGAGCCCCCGCGCTGAGAGAACATACATCTCAGCCCTGAAGCTGATCTTCATCCGCATACGTCACACGTCACATGATCAGGAAGCAGAACATCCATGTGTTAGGAGATTGTTTTGGGCCGTTCCTGTAAAAAAAGTGAGGCGCGAACCGGAAAAGCGTCTGCCGATCACAATTCGACAACGGATTATGAAAGAATGGATAAAGCTCGAAACACACGGATTCTTCCTGATGTAAGAGGTGAGTCTCCTCTTTGTTTAGGTTGTTTTGGCGTCGATATCATCCTAGCGCGCAATGTTCTGTGACTCTTAAAAAACAGTAAAAACCGTGAGAAACGGCTGGCAGTGAATGAGTTAATCCCACAGTGTGAAAATTCACTTGTTAAAGCAGCACAAACACTTACAGAAAAGGAAGAAGAAGAAAAAAGAAAAACTGCTACAAGAAACCGCGCCCCCTGGAAACGGACAAATCAGTACCCCAATTTACCTTTTTATGGAAGAGATATGAAAGTTGGTACACTTGTAGTACAAAACAAACTGCACAGAAAAGCCTCTTGCATCCATCCTGTAAACCAAACAGGAAGTTGGCCGTGTTTGATTGAAAACTTCATTTTGATCCCGTTTTGGCCATTTGTAGGGACCGCATTTAAGTGTACTCCTCGAAATTTGGACTCGTAAACTTCAAATTTGGGGGGTTGCCTCATATGGCATGGGAGATATTAAGTTGTTAAAATCGTTAGTTTTCGTTAATGTTGCGGGGGCGGGGCCAAGCCTCTAGAGTTTGACCATTAAATAAGCCCTTGAAGTCTAAGAGCTAACGGGCAGGCACTTTGTTTTTGCTGGTTTTGTGAGCGACATCGTCAGTGTGAGGGAAGCAAGGGGAGGAAAAAAGAAACCTAAGCTTGAAGAAATGTAGAAAGTCTCAAGGGGGAAAACCCACCAGCACTTCTCACGTTGGTTTAACTTAAAAACGCGATAATTAACTGCTTTGTTAGAATCTTCACACTTAGTGACTCTGAGGGTTCAGAAATGATAGAAACCACCCTGGTACAAACTCAGTCATCCGCCTAATGGAGGATTCCTTTCAGGTTGCTGTTGTCACTCTAAACTTGCAGGAAGTAGCTATGTTTCTTTGGTTTTTAAAGACTTTATAATGAAAGTCACTCGCTGATCACGAGCTGCGGCTCAGACGCTGTTCAAAAACGTGCAGAACAGAAAGCTTCCATTTGTTTAGACGAGAGGCTGACGCAAAGGAATTTGCATGACAGCAATGATTGTGAAATCATAGGAGATGGAAAAAAAAGCAGACCTCCTTATGTTGTGAAAATTTTTCATATGAAACCTGAAAGCTTTATGTCGAAACGTGATGTAACCCTGCCGTGATTCTGTACACAGATCCTGTTTTCTCTTCACGCCCTTGTTGAACTCCTGGAACTATTCCAGCAGCTTGGGGAGTTATTGTTGTTCAAAGCAGCGATTCTGTCAAAACCTACATGTACTCAGGATTACTTAGGATTAGACCCTCTGTGCTGCAGTTATCGCAAGCTAGTAATATAACAGAAATGTGTGTGTGTGTGTGTAAAGAGTCTGAATACTAAAAACAAGCTGTAGCTCTTATATAAGTGTGTGCACAAGGTGTTGAGCTGTGATTCTCCCTCCCTACAGGAAACAAAAGCACAAACCTGTGCAGTTTTTAACCTTTACTTGTGATTTGTGTACATGTGGGGAAAGAGTCGGTGTTTTGCTCCTGCTGTTGCCAGGAGACTACCAGGATTTTCATTTTTCAGAAAGCCATATTGGACCAATCAGATGTTTGTTGTGGAGCCGGGCCCACCAATGAGCTGTGGGTTTGAGTGCTGTGTGGGTAGGCCGTTCCTGCGATCAGTCTCACTCTCATCCCCGGGGGGTGGGGGCAGGGTTTTTGTGTCAGCATGCATGCTTGTGTACATGCAGGAATGTGTGCATAAACAGGTGCTGCAGAAACGTACACAACATATCTCATCTTCAGTGTTTTCGACCATTTTCAAGCTGCAGGGCTTTTAATAAAATGTAATTCCTTTACTTTCACTCATCGCTTTTTTCATGTTATGCAGTCACCAACCCGCTTGACTACATTGCACTGACGGGTAACAGTGCTGCACCTCAGTGTTGAAAATCCCATAGTTTCTATGTTTTTCTACTGTTGACTCTTCAGTGAGAGCTTTTTGTGTTTGCTGGATGCACACACCCATCCACACAGTAGATATGAATTCAGAGGAAGTGGCAAGCAGTTTTCTCAGTATCAGTTCCATTAATGTGATTTTAAAAGCTCGGTAACCAGAGCAGAGACTCATTTGGACCTGGACCTAGAAATGTAAACGGCTTTAGGTCGGAACTGATAAGAGGGAAGAGGTTGGAACTGATAAGAGGGAAGGAAAGCTTGTTTGATTAAATCTCAAACAGTTCAGTTTAGTATCTGGGGCATCCTCTTGATTACTAGTTTTATTACACATGTAGAGGGAGAAAGTTCAACTGATTATAATAACATAAATTACATATTTGTAATAACACATTTGATTGAATGTACACGTTTTTATTTAAATTCAAACAGCTGCAATGGATTATTAACCCCTCACTCTCTCTGGTTGTCCTCAGGTGATCGGCCTCTTAGATGTTTTCACACCAGGGAAAAGCCTGACGGAGTTTGAAGATGTGTAAGTCCCTTTTCCTTCCAGTGTGTCCTCGTGCAGCCTCTCTGATGTTTGTTCTTTATTTCTCCTCCGTCCGAGTTGCTGCAGCTTCATTCAAACACACGACTGCAGCTAAACAGCCACGCAAAACTATTCTGCAGCCCGTAACTTTAAGAAAGTCCAGCGTTTTAGGAGTTGTACCAAGGTGAATGTAGGGTGAACACACATGCACAAAGCATATCGCAGCTAGTCTCCATGGTAACAGCCATCTGGCAGTGTGTGTGTCTGTGTGCACTGAATACTCAATCAGCACCCTTGAATACTAGTGTTGCGTCATCAGCATGTTGCACATTTTCTGAAAATCAACACACTCCTTTTATTCAGCGACCAATAATGAAGGTAGAGGAAACCTTTCTGTGCAGACACTCAACAGATCAGCAAGTTGATGTTTAGGTAATTGGAAGCAGATGTTTTATACACTCACACATACAGAACACTAGCCTGGCAAGTCGTCCTATATATGTGAATTTATAGTCTGGCCACGACCCATAGAAAGAGCTCAGTCTAGGGGCGGGATCTATGGTTGTCTTTCAAACTCTCTCTGTATTCTATTGGACGATGAATATCATGATGTACTCACCGCTACAGATGTCAGTCAACAGGGCAGTCCACCATACACTGTTGAAGAACACTCAGTTTTTTTTTTTAAATTAATGACTTCAGTATCTGCTATTTTTAAAAGAAAATCCCAAATATAAAACATCTAAAGTTGATGCCAAAGGCGCTTCAAATGAGCCAACACCATTATAGTTTTTCTGCTACATTGCATTATTTCACCCACCAAACAGATAAAGCGCCGTGATTGGCATAACACAAAAGTGCTCAGACCAATAGTAGGCTTGCTGAGGCTCCTGTGGAGCGCGGCTAGTAGCAGCAGTAGCTCAACAGGTTGAGCGGGTTGTCCAGTAATCGGAAGGTTGCAGGTTCGATCCCGGCTTCGGACAGAGAATTCTGCTGTTGTGTCCCTGGGCAAGACACTTAACCCACCTTGCTTGCTGGTGGTGGTCGGAGGGACCGGTGGCGCCTGTGCTCGGCAGCCTCGCCTCTGTCCGTGTGCCCCAGGGCAGCTGTGGCTACATTGTAGCTCATCACCATCAGTGTGTGAATGTGTGTGTGAGTGGATGAGTGATACACTGTAGTGTAAAGTGCTTTGGAGTCCTTACTCTGAGAGGCGCTATACAAGTGCAGGTCATTAGACCGACCAGCAGAGCAAACCTTTGCTACTGCTGCAGTCTGTCAAGATTTCTAGGCTAACAGATTTGTCCTCAGTTATTTTCAAACTAAAATCTAAAAACGGGTAGTTTTTGATATTACTTCAGCACGAGTTCAGAATTCAATAAAAGTAATTTTTATTCATGAATAATGATCATTTGTCATCTCAGTCTACACATCTGCACAATGAGAATAAATTACTATCATTATTATAATGGGTTTACTACAACAGTTAGGAGAGGCTATATGTGCACTTTTGTTGTTTTAAAGCGATTTATAAAGAAAGCAGTGAGATGGTGTTGTCTGAACGACACATTCTGTTTGTTGCAGAGCTGCATAAAAAAGATAATCGGTTCAGAAGTGGGTTTTTGGCCTAAATGCTCGTTTTCCTTTTGGTTGTTTTAAACATCTGGAGGTGGTTTGATTTGGAAAAAATAAAACATAAATTTTGAGCCAAAGTTAACAGGCTGCAGGGGAAAATTTGTGAAACTATATAGTACACCATATATATTGAAATAAAACAACCCACTTCTCTCTCACAGACACACTTACACTCCTGCATGTATTTAGCACACAGCTAGATTCTGTTTTTCTTCGTCTCAGACAAACTGCACTGGTATAAGACGCTGCTTCACTTGCTCTTTTATTATTCTTCCAAAGAACAGAACATTTTATTCATGCTTCTTTCTTTTTAAACTCTTTAACACCTTTTCTGAAACTAGGCAGCAAACCAAAGACAATCTGACTGCTGGTCTTTGATCTGCAGATATATGGTGACACACTTGATGGGAGCAGATCTCAACAACATCGTGAAGTGTCAGAAGCTGACTGATGACCACGTTCAGTTCCTCATCTACCAGATCCTCAGAGGGTTAAAGGTCAGCGAGCAGATCACTGCCTTTGCTGGCTTCTTTTATTTAAACACTGCTCAGATTGATCTGAAATGTCTGTGTTTTCTCTGAAACGGGATGAAGCAGAAAATATTTTATTTCTTTTGTTTTTAAGAAGATGTGTGCTAATACTGTCACCAGTTTTGTTCTTGTTGCCTGTGAATCTTCTAAATATCATAAAATATTGCACAGGTAATGAGTAAAATTATTAAATGCTGGTAAAATGATTAAAATATTCCAGCAATTAATTATTTTTAAGTGATTATTCTTAACCCTTTAAGACCCAACACATTAAATAATATTCAAAAGACTCAAATGTATTAAAATTTTAAATATTTAATTGGTAATGATAATATAACAATTATTAACTTTCATTTTAAATTTATCAAGCAATTCTGTAATAATTCTACAATAATTATACTAAATAAAAATTCCACTTGACACTTAATACATAAATAATCCATGAGCAGGCAGAAAACCCTTAAAAGATTTAAGACTGGAGATTATTTTGGAAAATGCTAATCTTTCTAAAGAGATACATCTGCTACAAACTTAGAAATGTGTGTATCGCATACGATACAGTGGGCCTACTGAGTTTGTAGGTTTAATCCTTGTTTGGTTCCTTTCACAGTACATCCACTCTGCAGACATCATCCACAGAGTAAGTGATGCATGTGTTGACATAGGAAGAGAAACATGCCGTCAGCTCTATGTTCACATAATTTTCTACTTTTTCTATTTTAGGACCTGAAGCCGAGTAATCTGGCTGTTAATGAAGACTGTGAGCTTAAGGTGGGGAAGCGGTCATTACAGAGACAAGGGTTATCAAAAGTAATATGACTGATCGTAATAAAAAAAACCTCCTTTTTTTATTCCTCAGATCCTTGACTTTGGCCTGGCGCGACACACGGATGATGAAATGACGGGATACGTAGCCACGCGGTGGTACCGAGCCCCTGAGATCATGCTGAACTGGATGCACTACAACATGACAGGTGAGCATGGGCGTAATTTTTCCCACAGATTTTCTCTCGAGGCCTTTTGGATCCATTCATGATTTTGACTTACTTTTACTGAAATGAGGTAAAATGTTGTTCATGTTAAAGGTGTGGTTGACTGAAAAAGATTTTTTCATGATTATTTCTGATTATAAATGGTCACTGAGTTTTTCGTGTAGGCTGAACATGAAAAAAGTCCTTCACCTATCTGCTGCATTCGTTTGGAGCAAATCTAAGATTTGAAAAGCCTGACAGGTCTATGTCACTTCACATTCATGGACTCGTCGATCTTGACTCGCGACGGGGAAGGCTGTTGTTGTTGTTTTAGTGTCCAGGAATCTTCAGACAACTTGTAAAAGCTAACTGTTAGCATTAGCAACATCGCCTCACAGAAAAACTCCAGGGGCCTCTTGTATCAAAAGTTTGTAGAAAAATTCCTGATTTCCTTCCTATGAACAAAATCTAGAATGATTGTATGGGAATAAAACCTGATTTATGAAACATGCGATGGCCTCTCGTACGCATGTTCCTCCGCAGTCGTCTGATGATAAATCCCACTTGTGCGTACCCAGGTGCTCGTGTTCTTTCTCACGCATTTACATACAGGAACGCCCTCAATTAACCATATTTGGTCACGTGACGGGATTCCCTGTGTTCTATCCAGGAAAAAAAGAAAACTTGCGAGATCGAGACACTTTCTGCCGAACTGCAAAATAACCGAACAAGTTGCAGAGGTTATAAACGCGGACGGGACAGAGGAGAGGTCTCTGTCAGGAATAAATAAAAACTCTAAATGATAAATTGTAGAGTAACGGGCTGTCATTTGCATTTAAGTAGTCGTTCTGGGTGGTGTTCGTTTTATTTGGAAGTGTCTGAGTGCAGCCTCTTAGCTATCATTCAGTCTTGTTACCGAGCAGAGGACGTTCTCGTAGTTGTACAATAGAATACGAACTGGAATCGGATTTGTGCCGTTTATCTGTCGCTCCACAACGGGTCCCAAATCACAGCATAGCTCTAGAAGGATCTCATGTCAGTACGCTCACGGAAACGCGTTTACTCCAGAGAGGAGCTCTGACAAAACCTTAATAATAATATAGAAACGGTCCTTTATCTAGCGCATCTCAAGCAAAACCATGAGGCGTTTCACAAGGACAAAAATATGTTAATTCAATTCAGTTTAGTTCAATTAAATTGAATTGAACTGAATTAAATTAGATTGAATTAAAAACCTAATAAAAATGGGAAGAGACAGCCATTCTACGATGGCAGATTCCTGTCGGGCGACTCTCTGCGGCAACACAAACACGGACCTCTCACCTCTCCCATCGGCGATCATGCCTGGACCACGTCTGCCCGATATCGCAACATTGCCGAAGAAAACAAGGTGGCGCTAAACACCAGTCATGGTTTTCCACGTCCAAACATTTCCTTTTGTCCGTGACTTCAGATGGTTTTCCTTTTAGGGACTCTGGTAGTTTCTCCTAAAGTTGAAGTGGTAGCAGCTGGCCGTTTCTCCTTCTCTGATATTATTGAGCGGAGAACCTCTCACAACACTGGTGTTATGTTGCAGGGAAGTGCGGCAGTTCGGCCAGACCGTCGACCGGGTCGTCCAATAGTTGGTTTTGGTCCGAGCCGTGTTATTGGCCAATGTTTTTAGACAAATGCAAGACAACCACTTTATTGTTTTGTTTTTTTTTTATCTCCACAATAAATGTACAGCTAACATGTTAGAACAAGAAAAAATGTTTTAAGCTAATTTGTTTTCCAATTTTGTCATTGTGGCTTTAACATCGTTGTTCCACAACATCAGAGAACTGGAATGGAAGTGATGTGTATTCCCTTAAGGGATGCTTTGCCATTAATATGTTATAATACTGGTGAAAAAGATTTACGCCGTGCTTTTCCAAGCTAATGTTATTTCATGTGTATTTTTTATGTGGCAGTGGATATCTGGTCAGTTGGCTGCATCATGGCTGAACTACTCACAGGACGGACGCTCTTCCCCGGCACTGATCGTATCCTTTCCGTCCTGTTTCTACACCGTGCAGAAATAAATCACTCCTTAGTGTCCACATTCACTCTGACGACGTGGAGGAGGTCAATGCAGTGTGATAGAGTTTATAATACATAATCGTGTTAACAGCATGGTTTTACGTTACAGTACCAGGCTCACAAACGCCAAAAACACAGCTAGGTGGTGAGTTTTGTACAGTGCATGCCAGTATAGTAAGCTTGTGTATGAACACAGGTTAATGGTTCTCTCTGGTGTTTGGCACAATTCTGTGTACACACACACACACACACGCACGCACGCACGCGCGCGCACACGCACGCACGCACACACGCACACACACACACACACACAACCCAGTCTAACCAAATGTCTTTACACAGACCAAAGGCTACAGTTGTGTTAAATATCAGAGCAGGGGCTGCTCTTGCGTAATGTGTTTGTGTTTGCTGCTCTAAATAATCAATCAGCTGATCCACTCCTTCCCTGCATGTTCACCGTGGGTGGGCGTGCGTGTGCTCTGAGCAGATCTGAGTTACTCAGAGAAGTTACGGTTATATTAAGTCTTAAGCTTTCTCTTCCATCTCCTTATCTGAATGAAACGTGAGCTTCAGATGGTTACATTTAAAGACTTAGGCGGTGCAGTTCGTTGACCCTGTCTTCATGACTATCTCGTCGTTTTGTTAAAACAGTTTTTTCAGAGATTATCTGCTTGCATCTTATCAGACTGTTAGCAGTGTTCATGTAAAATCTATTGTCTGGGTGAAATCTGTAAATCAGCGAGTCGTCAGCAAAGAACTGTACTAAAAGTCTGTTTCAAAGCAGAAAAACTAAACATTGTCTTATTTTTGTCCTCTTCCTGTTTCCATCTAAGTGAAAAGTGAAAATAATGATGATTAATTGAATCTTTATTTTGTGACAAGTTTGCTGTTATCAGCCCCACCCTAACTAGCATGGCTACTTGCATGGCTTGCACTGATAAGACACGTCTGGTTAACCGAGAGCGTCTTCTCATACTTAAATACTCTGTGTGCAGGCTTCCATGTATCTCATTAGTTGGCTATTTTAGACAGACTGGCTTTTATTCACAAAATAACACAATTAGCTTAGCACAGTTAGCGTAGAGCATTTGTTTTCACTCATAATCAACAGAAATCCATTTATTTATTAATCCTTTGCAGTTGGGTCTACTGCTAAAAAGGTTAGAGAGCTGATGGATGCTGGTGAGGGCCACGTCTCCTTAGGACACTTGAGCAACAATCTGCTGATAGACGGAGCAGCTTTTGTTGATATGAGATCATATTTACCCCACATTGCTCAGAGAGTAGGTTGCAGCTTGACCTGCTTTTTTTTATTTTTTATTTCTTTGAACAACATGACCTCTTGTACAAACAAACAAAAAATTTGCTGATTAGCTAAAGAATGACTTGGAAAATCAATTGAATTGCTCATATGTCCATCATTTCTGTAGCAAATGCAGTAAAATATATAATAATCTGTTTAAAATGTGTTTCTTGCATAAATGAAAACCATACTAAAAGGTGCTGCACAGTGAGTGTTAAGCTATAAACTGTTAAGTTTTTTTCCCCCCTCTAATCTTTAAGTTCCTCCAGCTCTCCCTGATGCATGACTCAGTAGAAGGTTGAAGACATTTTATTTCACCATGCTTCACTTTAGTTTTACTTTTGGGAATTATCTATTTTTTTGCATGCATGCAGATCACATGTTGAACATGCGATCTTGATGAACACCCTCCATCTTTTGTTTTTTCCTTCATGTGAGTGTGATAGACATTGATCAGTTGAAGCGTATAATGTTGCTCATCGGGACCCCAGGGCCAGAGCTTTTGAAGAAAATCTCTTCGGAGCCTGTGAGTGTCAAGTCCCGTCCCTCTGAGTGTCGCCGTGTCTGATGCCTTGCTGCGTCTCCGGCTGTAGTTTAGTTTGCTCCCTCGTGTTGATGCTTCCCCCTCTTGTGTTTTTTCGCTTTTGATTTCCTCGCTTTTGCAGCAGGTTGAAAATTTGCATTTCTTCATGCTCACTGTGTGTGACCCTTCTATTGCTTCTTTTTGAATCCGCCTCCCCCCGCCTGATCACAACCAGCCATGATCTTTGCTGAGCTTTATGCTACGATGCCCCTTGACTCAGAAGCTTTAGACATTAACCAGCTGCAGCAGATTATGCGCCTGACGGGGACTCCCCCAGCCTCCCTCATAAGCAGGATGCCCAGCCACGAGGTGAGACCCATTCCCGTTCGCCTTCTCAGACGGGCCTTCTTCAGCGGGAGCCGACTCTGAGCCGCAGCAGTCGGATTGTTGATTTTTTTTGTTTTCACAGACCCATCCTTGCTAGCACACCAAGCCCTGCTCACACTTCACTCGTTCCGTTTCCTCTCTGACTCACCGTGCTTCATTCTAAAAAAATAAAAATCAGGGCGTGATGTTTGTTTAATGCCTGTTAAGTGTTTTGAATGCACTTTGATGGAGCCGTAGCTCTGCAGCTTGTGTTTAAAAAAGTCATTTTATTTTACTTACAGACCGTTTTATTTATACATTTTTCACAGGCAAGGAACTACATCAGTTCACTTCCTTTCATGCCTAAAAGGAAATTTGCTGATGTGTTCATCGGTGCAAACCCTCTGGGTAAGTTCCTCTTTCTGTATGAGCCAGCAGCGTGCCGCTTCTGGCTTCCTCTAGCGGTGTCATCAAACATTGCTGTTACTCTGTTTTTCACCATTTCCTGCACTTCTGTAGTTTTGCTTGCCTGATTTGTCCATTTTATTATCTAGTTAAAAGGCCTCCTGAACAGTTTCTGATGCATAGATCAGATTTTTTAAAAGTTCACAGAGAAGTGATCCCCGACCAAAAATCTTTCAGCGTTACAAGCTGACACATCTAATTTACTAAAGAATTTAAAAAAGGTGTGCTCATATTGATGGCTCAGATCAATAAATGGTTTTCGAACAGATTAATTAGGTTGTTCATTTTATTCATATATATTTTTCACAAAATTCTTTGTTTGTACCAGCTTCTGCCACAATAAACCACTCTAACGTAAACTCCACTCCTGGATTATTTTAAGAACTAGGGATGCAACAATACCACGTTTTTCCAAACCAATACGATACCGATACTTGGATCTGAGTACTCACTGATACCAATTACCGATACCGATACTTCTGCCACACATAAAATGTAATGAATTTGAATACAGGTTTTATTTTCTTCTCTGCTTTCAACAGGAAAAGACTGAGGTAGATAAAAAATATAATATATTAATAGAAATGATCACAAAACTAAAATATTAGGTGAACAGAAATGACAAGTTACAGTGAAGCCACGTTCAGGCAACTGCATTTGTATCGGTTCAATTTTATTGATGCCAGTATCGTTATTGGTGCATCCCTATCAAGAACTAAACTTGATATTTGTAACCATATTCTAAAATATTTGACAACGTATCAGTGGGACTAGAGAGTCTCATGTTTACATGTCATCACAGAGTATTGTTCTTTAAATCAGATCATTAAAACATCGTTATTATTAACCTTCTGTAACCTTTAACATCCTTCTGTGGTTGCTGTCTGTAGCGGTGGACTTGCTGGAAAAAATGTTGGTGCTGGACACAGACAAGCGGATCACGGCATCCCAGGCTCTGGCCCACCCGTACTTTGCTCAGTACCACGACCCAGACGACGAGCCTGAAGCCGAACCCTACGACCAGAGCTTTGAAAGCCGCGAGCTGGACATCGAAGAGTGGCAGCGTGAGTTGTCCCACAGTTCACTCATCGTTGATGTAAACATTCATATTTCTAACTGATCTGGTTTGTGTTTTACTCTCAGGCTTAGCCTACGAAGAGGTAATCAGCTTTGTGCCGCCATCTTTAGATGAAGACGAGATGGAATCTTGAAGGGCGGGTCGCCCTTTTTTAGATTATTTATTTTTGTTTGGTTTATTTGACTTTTTTGCCCAAGAAACACTCTTTTAAAACTACCAGTCTTGTCTGACTATCAATCACTTCTTACTCGCGCACAACCACGACATTCAAGTGCCTGCAATCCGGGGGAGGAAAGAACATCCTGGTTGGCTGTTTTTGTTAACCCGCGTCCCTCAAATAACGAGGCCGGGTTTAAACCCTCTCACCGTCTGTCTCAGACATTTCAGTTTCAGTTCCTACCCCATGAAAAAACAACTTTTAACTAACACGAGAGGTTGGTATTTTATATATTTTTACTGCTTTACAGGAAAACCTTTTTTCTTTGTGTGGATAAGTGTGTAGATATTCCAATAAACAGTATTTGTACATAAGTATTTCAGGCAGCACAGTTATATTATGTAATAATTGTAACTTGCTCAGACACTTTATCCAACCTCTTCACCAGTATGACTAAAAAAATAAATCTTAAAATGACAAATGAGATTATATTGTTTGTAAATTATAATAAGCGTGTACAGAATAGAGGAGAAATCAGTCAAATATAAAATGGACAGGAGTTTAGGCCTTTATTTTCTTAGTTTTGTAGACTTAGCATCTTTCTTTTTTAGTTTGTAGAATAACTTCATATCAGTTTTTCCAAATGTTGAAAAGGTTTCATTTTTCCTTCATCTGTAACATTTCTGTTGTTCCAAGTGACTTCATATGCAGTCGGTAAGCTCCAGTTTCACTGAAGCTAAATGAAAAGAAAAACAGGTTTGGCTTCATAATTTATTCAGATTAGATCTTTTTCATAAGTACCAATTGTAATTTAATTTCATTGCAGTTATAAACCATATTACTATTAATGTTTATTGAATGTTTGGGGCACCACATGGCTCTGTATTTATGATCTTTTGTTTGTATTTCAGTGTAAAAGAAATATTTTTTTTTTCATTATTATTTATGGAGAGCATCAATAATAATCTGATTTATCCACTAAAGCCACAGTGACTGCAGTTACAGATTGTGTTTCTAAATCAGCTAAAAGAAGAAAATCCTATCAAAGTTGCCTGAATAGTTCTGTTTGAGAAAACCTTATATAATCAATATAATATAATATATTTGGAAACTGAAGGAAACAATTTGTAAATGCAGTTTCTCTGGCTTAACTACATTATGTCATCCTTTCCCCATTTACCGTTTTAGTTTTTTTTTCTTCCACATGTATTATTCCACTCCTGTCTGTTTTAAATCGGGATTGGACGTTTCCCTGTGATTTATTATTTTAATTTTTTTGTCGTATGAGGAGCACTAGCATGTTAGCTTAGACATTTTAGCAGGGCATGAGTGGACGTTTACTCACTGGATGCTGAAGGGCAATGCTGAAGCCTCACATTTTTTTACTCCACTGCATCAATCAGATATTTCTCTCATCAATATAATATCGAGGGTTGTTTTGGTTATGCTTGCTTTGCCTGAGATGTGTTTATATTTTTTCACTTTGTTCTTGACCACATGTATCGAGATGCAGGCGGTGACATCTGTAAATAATAACACCATCAGGAAATAAAGGCTATTTTTGGACCTCTGATTGGGGCTATGTTCTGAGACTGTGTTGTGCTTTAATGTTACCACTGGGGGGGGGGGGGGGGGGGGGGGGGGGCAGCGGTGCACACCTTTCACTAGTCAGGTCATTTTCCAAACTGCAGAAATAAAAACATAAATTGGCTGGGGACTGGTGCCCTGAGGTCCACTGGCTGGCCCCCCTTCTTCCCAGGGCTGGGTCTATTCCCTGCTCTGGCCTATTGGTGCCCACTACTGGGGTGTACATGGCCCAATATTGGACAGCCCCTCAGTGGCACCCCCAAATATTTTTCACAGGGATGGCCATGGGGTCAGAGAAATCTTTGGAGGTGGCACACCAGATTGGTCAGTGTGGTAACTAGGAGAGTTTAGCCTGTAGCGATGCTCCTTTATTCCTTTTCATAAAAAAAACAATATGCATCCAACATGCTTACCTCAAATTTGAATAACACGAAATTTTCAGAAAAAGACATTTGAAACTTATTTGGAATGCAATTTTACATTGTAGAATTTTTAGAACACTAATTGCTAACTTCACAAAAACTTGATTTTAAACTTGGTTTGAAAATTGTGAAACATTTTTTATCTGATTATTTACTCTTTAATTGTATGTTTTTAATTGGGTTTTACATTTATATTTGATTAAATAATACGAATTTATAGTTCGTGTGAACATTAATATAATTCATTAAAGATCATTGGTCTCTGGAGTGGTCAGCAATTTTCTAGGGGTGACCCTAGTCACCCCTTGGCACCACTGCAACCCGTCCTTCATCATATACACAGCATTTAAAACAAACAACACTCTTCGTGACAAATCCACATTCAAACACCCGCAAAAAAAGCTAACAGATTAGAATGGCACATAAACACACATTTTCTAAAAAATACAGACAATACAGACATGCACATGCTCACATACAGAAGTACATGCTTCTATAAATATAGAAAACACAGTTTAACAGTTCTTATTCCATTTATACTTGTAGATTCTTTCTTTCTTTCTTTCTTTTTAGCTGTCTCGTTACGTTAAGAAACAATATTGCACTTTTAAGAGCCTCAACTGGATGGGACTGAATTCAAAACCTACTAGTCTACATGAGTTGACCAAAATAAGACTTCTTTTAGCAAAACAACTTTTTAAATCAACATTTACACAAATAAAATTGTTTTCTGCTTAACTTATTCTATTAAATTACCTATTTATAACTCTGACAAAATTGAAATATATCTAATACCAAAACACACAGACTTAAACATATATGAACTAAAACTTGGCTCCCACACTCCTTGTTTATCTGCGTATCAAACAAACCCCGCTTTTTAATCTGGTAAAATATTCATATATTTGACACAATTCTAAACGGGCTAATATTCATGTAAATTCTAAATTCATGTAAAGGATGACTGCAGTTTAATAGCCAAATGCTGCCATCTACAGCTCAATCCAAGTCATTTGAACGCTTCTGACAGAGAGTTTCCACAGTTCCGACCGCCTTTGAACGCAGCTGACAGGTTTTCGGCATGGAAAGAAAAGGTAGCGAAGCTAATTTAACCAAAAATGCTTTTTATATATTTTAATCTTAATCCACAGTCCGTCCTCTGTGTACACTTACCACACCAGCTACTTGTTATGTACGGAGTATCATCTAATGTCATAAAATACCTCGTAACAAAGGAGAAAAAGTAAAAGTGAACCATGCGCTTTGTATGTTATGTACGGTAACGTTCACGCTAGCTTTAGCCACCAGATTAGCCTCACAGTGTGGATAAAGAAACCTGCGCCAAAACTTTTGTGTAGATAAGTAGAGAAATAAACCACGTGGTTATAACAGATTCGTCAGGACTTACTTAGAAGTTGGGCAGATAGCCCATATTCACATGAGAAATCCCCAAACGAGTAGCCGAATGTCTATGAGTTATTTATTTTAGCTAAGGAACCTGCTAGCATCACTAGTTGGCATCTAGCTGTCTCTCTCAGTTTTAATTCAACCGCGTCAACTACATTTAGACTAATTACCAACAGTTTTAAGCGAAAACTATGCAGGGGGTTGTGGTATGTAGTAGTAACACCCGTGTTCTGCTTTTTTTCTTATTTAGTTCTCGCGATTCAAGCAAGAAAGAAGAGGACCAAACCCAGAAAACCAGGGAAGAAGTAAGCAAGAAACCCGTTTTCACGTCACATGCCACATTAATTTATTTAGGAAACAAAGAAAATACGTTTGCAGACATCTCTATGAATCACAATGGTATTCTATGTAAGCTAAGAAGTTGTTTTAAATGTCTGATTCTGAGCTTTGGTCAAAAGATATCATTGACAAATTCTTTTAATTGACACCAAATAGCTAAAGACATTGAACGAACAACAGTTTCTCAATACTGAAAAACAAGGAGCAACATTAACGGCCTTTCAGAATATTGTTTTTACAGAAAAGATGTTAACATTTGTGCTAAATATATAAATGCAACAAAAACGTTGATAAACTATTACAGAGTACTATTTATCACAAATAGTACCATATAAATACTGGTGATATAGTTTTTCTCTGTCTTATCGAAGTTTTTGTCTAAATTACAGAGTGTTTTATAATGCAGATTAATGGACTTGAACCCTAAGGGATTTTGGCAAGGCAGGGCAGCTAAAGCACATTTCATACACAAAGGTGATTCAATATGCAGAAAAAACAGTGACAACATAAAACTAGATTGTAAATTCAAATTTAAAATACATGAAAAGAATTATATTAATACATAAATGACTAAGTTCAAAGCCCAAGTACAAACTTTAGTAAGGTATTAATGGTTAGTGGGTCATATTAAACTACTAAATGGAGCAAGTCTCACAGCTTAAAGGCGCAATATGTAAGGATGATATAAGAGTAACATCCTGTGGTCAAATCTAGATACTGCAGGTTATTTTTCTACACAGTAAGTGATAAGTGAGTTTCATGGCTGTTGCAAGTTATGCATCAGCACCAGACGATTCTAGATGGAAAGCGAAGGTGAGTCATACAGGTTTCATTTGATTTTTAAAATGTTTTTTATGATTATGTCACATTTTATCTGATGGTTTTATATTATTGATGTGTTCAGCACCATGATGGACATCGGCTTCTGTCATGGAAGGGGCTTTATAAATGAACAAATGAAATGAATGAATAAGTAGATTAATATATTGTCATTTCTGATGTTAGCACTCTTGGGCGTTTTACGGTAGGGAGCACTTACTCTTATTTATTATGGTTGTTTACCTCTGGCATTAGAGGAAGTGTGGTTATTTGCCGTGTTGCTTAGCTTGCTGTTAAAGTTCTGAAAGACTCAAAAAAAAAAAGGAAGCAAAACGCCACAATTGACACATAATTCACTTCACTCATATATTTCACTGGAATATTGAGCTGTCAATAATTGAAAAAGTAGCTTGACATTTTTTTAGAGCTGATTATTTTTCATCAAATTCAACACTAGCATTGCTAGCTCAGTGTTAGCCTCTAGCCTTATTCTCCCAATAGTAGAGTTAATCAAAAAGATGTCGTAGCCTCTTAGAGGTACAAGAAATAACTTATGTGTTGCTTCTGTTCATTGGATTTGGTTCTTCAAACAACTTGAGGTTTTCGCCTGCCAGTGTCGAATTACAAATTTTAGCGCTGCAGCATTAGCTTGGCACCCGCTCTGCAAACTCATGGGCTCACAGATTCCAAACGAAGACTGTGTCCCTCGCTGACTTTTCTGAAAAAAGACAATTTGACAACCCTGCAGCAGGCTGAGAAGGAAAACCATTTCAATGTAATCTTCCAACTTGCATGAGACATTACACTTTGTTGTGATTATTTCTTTGTGAAATTGTTACATATTCAGTGTTTGCCCTACATAAGCCCAGACGTGGTGCTATGAACCTTTCCCCGCTCTCATGGAAGACGCTCGAAAGCAAAACATTCTGCAAGCATCTTTTTCTCTATCAAATTTGTTCTGTTTTAGTTGTTCTTTAAACGCAGGGGCGGGGAACTCTGGTCCTCGAGGGCCAGTAACCAGCATGTTTTTGTTGTCTCTTATTTCCACACTCCCGATTCAGTGGTTTAATCATCTGCTGATTAAAATCAGGTGAGTTGTAGCAGAGAAAGAACAAAAACATGCATGATAGCATGCAGTCCCACCCCCTGTTTTAAAAGGTCATGTTCTGATTGTAAATAACCTGTAGTGCTTTGCATGAGCTGTGTCCAGTAAAACTGGAAGAGAAGGAGGGACTTTAAAAACAGATGGATCAGATTGCAAAGTCAAGTTTAGGTGTAATATTTCCAGATGTTATTGTCTGCTGAGAAGCGCTATGGTGCCCTCACTGTCCATGCCTGTTATTCAGAAGAATACTGCAGTAAGCTAGCCCATTAGCACCGAGTAAAAACCAGAGCCCTACTGAACTAATGCTGGATTATAATCTGGGCTTTACTGTCCTCAGGCTCCTTCCCTCCCACTTTCTTGTGTCGCTCTTACTTTTGTAGCTGCTGTGGTGAGAGGGACACAGCAGCCACACACTTAGAGAGGCAGAGGAGAGAAGTGCAGACCAACACAGACTCTAGATTTTCAGATCTTCTCTTTAACCCAGTTAAGAGTTTATGTTCAGTGAAGCTGTGTCCATTTTGTCATGTGGCTCTTGGACTGGATCTTCTCTATCAATACAGCTGTGGTGAAACTTGCCAGTGGTCTAACATGCAAGTGAGTAGGAGTGTTAAATGTGTGTTAACTAACTCCTTGATAGTGTGTGTGTGTGTGTGTATGTGTGCGTGCGCGTGTGTGTGTGTGTGTGTGTGTGTGTGTGTGTGAGTGAGAGAGTGATTGAAGGGTGTGTGCAGACAGTTGAAGCTTTTCTGACTGCCTGTATGTTTTTAGAATCACAGATCTGGTGATAATTGTATTTTCAGGTATCTAATATAAGATTTGGTTGTTTAGATGACTTCCTGAGCTACAGATGCCATGTTTGGCTGCATTTAGACTCAGGAGAATAAGCAGGAATAGCCTCGGTTGCAAAGTATTTACTGTGTAGTCTCTTGCTTTAAGCTTCCCTGCTTCTCTCCCAGCCTTGGCTGTAGTTTATTACATAAGCTATCAACTATTTTATCATCTGCAGTCCTCCACAGCTCTATATATCTTACAGTGCAGGTTCACCACTTCGCTTTCTTCCCATTAGGCTGTGGTTGAATGTATGAAAAGTGTGTCTGAGTGTGTGTTGGCTAAAGGAGAAGTGGGTTGGTTTCAGGCTCTTCAAACTGGGATTTGTTGGGTTTTCATATCTTGAGTCGACCATCACAGTTTAATGTTCTTATTGATCTTGTTTGCATGGCTTGCAAACATAAAAAATCCCAATGTTATTGGACTTTTGGAAAATGAACTTTAATGTACTTGATCAGATGAAGTGAACATTCTCCAGACACGGTTTTTGACGTGATTCTCATAAATCTTTCGTAGGCGTCGGAGTGCTAAAGTGGAACCATTGGTCTACATCCATTTACACTTTGTGTGCATTGCACCCCCGCTGGATTTACCTAGTGCTGCTGTTTTTTTCTGCTGCACAGGCTCTTTACATTGATTTTATTTGTAGGGAGGGGAGGTAGGACTGCAATCGTTTTGGTCCACCTCCATCCAGAAGAGCTCTTCTTTTCTATTGTGTCCCTGATGAAAGTAGAACAGGTAGGGAGGGGCAAGGATACACACATGATACACACACTCATGTCAGATAAGAGTGATCGGCTCATTGTGATTCTTTATTTGCGTTATCTCTCTGTCACGTGTTCACAATATTAACTTTATAGTAGTTCTTCTGCTAAAAGTTTCCATCTTCACCTCTGACATGACATTTGTTCAGTGTTTTATCCCCAAAAAAACGAAGGGAAAATTCACTCGGATCCAGTGATTTACTCACTTAGGAAGGCATTTTCCTTTGGAGTTTTGCTGCAGGTATGATTCTGTAACATGAAGTGTAGCGGTCACACTTTATAGCGCGATGACTGCAAATTAGTTATGACCAATAAGATGTGATTATTCGTGTAAATATGAAATATCAATCTGATTGATCTTTGAATGTTTAATCAGAAGAGTCTAGGGTTCTTTGCTTGTTCAGGGACCATAGACACTTTGTATTAATTCAGACAGAGTCAGGTATATAGTTAAAATGGAATTTAATTATTTTCTAAACGAATGATTATACATGACAAGATATGAATAATGCGGCGTGATGGAGTGGATATGCGGTGATGGGATGTGATGTGTGAGGTGGTGTGATGTAAATTAGATGTTTATCAGAATCTTTTTACCTGAAAGAAATTGTGAAATCTGGGTGTAAAAGAATTTGTTGTCTGTCTGCTATAAACTAGAGAGTTGATTATTAATAAAACAGCATCTGAGCATCAGATGCAATCTGTTGTGTCTGCAAACCCTGGCGGAGACCCCCAGCAGGTCCCGCCTGTCAGAAGTCGGGTGGACCTCACGGCACCTGAAGCCAGTAGATTAACTTCGATGCGACCCATCCAGTCTTGAGATGTCCAGGTCACAACAGTAGCTGGAATGCTTGTTTGCGTCCAAAGTGGATGTGGCTGTCAGGGAGCCGTCTGGCTGTGTCAGCTTGCAGCGTGCAAACAGGTTGACTGTATGTCAAAAGAGATGTCCCAAGGATGCTTGTTCCGGATTGGCCGGTTCGAAACTGAATTACTCGGGAAGTAATTCCTGTTTTATTAAACCACAGTGTTATGATTTCTGTCCAATCAGAATCTGACAAGTTTCTGGGTTTTTACCAACATCCCTCAGAAAGCCACTCCTTCCTTCAGATACAAGATTCTTAATTCTGTAAATAAAGAATCTTTAAACGTTATGTGAGGCGAACCTTAACCTTAATTTGTATCGTATTGTAATGTGTATGAGTGTAGATAATGATTAACTTGTTAAATCAAACACATAGTAATTTGTGATATAAATGGATCTTTGTAAGAACAACATTAATTTCAAATTCATTGATTTAAGCACAGGCTATTCAAACATTTGATTTAGACATCTTGTTCATTCATCACATACGATTATTTAACCCATAAGTTGTAAAGCCTTGTAGGATTCGTGTGGATTCACTTTTATTCGAGTGAGGAATCCAGCAGTCGGACTTTTAGCAGAGAGATACGGCTTTTGCGGGAGACCTTGACAGTTTATTTATGTCTGCGTTGAAGAACAATAAGTGAGCAAAAGTTTGATCTCTGCGTCTGGATCCTCCAGCTGGTGTATAACCTTGACTTTGCAGCTCTGGCGTGTATGAAAGGTTGCTGTCAATTCAATGCTGAAAATGGACTCTGTTGATACATTACAAAAGTTTGTTATTGTTTACTGTTGTTGCAGGATCTGGTGAAAGTTTTCTCTGACAGAATAGGATGTAGATAAATTGTGGTGATAGTTAAAAGTAAGTAAGAGTCTAATTTCTTTTGAGTGTCTTACGTCTTTGCTGGCTATACGTCATCGGGAATTACTGTTATCTTAAAGTTTGGACATATCTATTTCAAGACATCAAAATCACCAATAATAACTATAGACTACAGCACTGAAGTGCATAACTCCAGAGGTTTCTTTGTTGCATGGAAGATAATTTAGAAATGTAATTTTAACATTTAAAACCTCCTGATGGCAGAATTGCAGGTGTGTTTAAATCATAAATGACAGTATTCACACTCATTAATATGTATTAGTTAGTAAATGGCCGTGAGAAAACACATAAGCTATTTGCTATTATTTCTTAATGTTTTTGAAATGTTTGTATTCAAGGAAAATTTAAATGTTGCTGGAGGGTGCTGCTTTTTGTTATTTTCATAAGTTTTGCTAAAAACAGATCAGAAGGGACTTCCTAAGTTTAACATCTGGGCGTAGTCTCTGGGGATTTTTGGGTTAAAGGTTTGATACAATAAAAACCTTTCCCAGCTTTCAGCAGTTATTATGGTTTGACCATGGTCTTTAGTTTGTTTAGTTGTTTCGAGAATAAACTGGATTTAGTGAGAATTTGCTGTGATGAAGGAACTTTAGCATTTAACCTCCAGTCTGAGGCTAACAGAAACACGTGAAGCGCCTTCTCTGGGTCGAGACAGGAGGATTGTAAAGTAAACTGTAGTTTTGCTGCTTAAAAACCATAAAAACCAGAGAACTGTTGATGGAATGATGAGATGGGGATGATGGACAGACAGACAGGAAGGATAGAAGAATAGTGTTTTGATCAGATGAGGAGGAGGAGTTGAGGATAAGGCTGATGTCGCATCTCACCTGCAATGCAGTGCTGGGCTCTCCCCCAATCATCTCGCAGCTGTCGTTGAGGGGGGCTGGGCCAGAGGCTGACGACAGCCAAGGAGAGTTCTCGGTCAGACAGAGAGGCAGCGTGTGAGTGAGAGAGGGAAGAGTGAGCGAGGATTGGCGAGTGTACAGTAGATCCGTTCAGTCCAGGACGCAGTCTGCAGCAAGCTCTCATCAAATCTTCTCTCCACGCTTCCCTGTTCCTGCCTCGCTCGTCTTCTTTCCCATCTTCTCACTTTATTTTCTAGTCGTTGACGATCATTTACTTTTCACCCTCTGTACTTTTGTTTCTGCCTGTGCACCTCCCCTCATTCCCCTCCTGACGGATGGAGTAAGGGGTTTCTTTCAACACCTGGTCCCTCTGGCCCCCCTAGCCTCACATCCCATGGGAATCCGTGCGTCTTGCAGGTAGGATGAGTGTTATTATGTGATGGTTTGGAGGTGGGGACCCAGCAAGGCCAGTTAACAACAGCCAGGACAGCCCAAGGTTCTCTAGTGTTGCAGAAGTCCTTGAAGTATCCTGATGTGTATTGTGTGATCAGAGGGCACTGAACTCTGTCTATGAAGGAAAAACAAATATGTACTTTGAATGGTCAAGTGTCTGTCTTGTTTTGGCATCAAACACAAGAAATTTGTGTCAAATGCTTTAGGTCGTTCTGTTGTTGTTTGTCTTGGATCACAGCATTGCACTCTGAGGTGTTTTTATGCTCACCTCATCAGGGCAGCTCTTAATTTTTGTCAACAAGTGTCGTATTTACATCAAAAAGTATTTGTCTGTTATTATGTGTCAGTAAATATCTAAACAAAACTATTATTCCTTGTTGTAATCAGAAGGTATAAATGAATCATTTGTGTTTTAAGAGAGAGGTGAGAACATGATTGTCGTCTCTTCACCTCTGGAAAGTATCTTGTTTACCTTTTTTTGTTTCCCTCCCAACAATGAGCTTTGTCCTCCTTCCAAGTAACCGATTGTCAGTTTATTTGAACCCATAAAAAATAATCAATTTAGTAGGAATTTTTTTTAGGTTTTTGGGCCTTTTTAGAAAATGTAAACAGTAGCTCATCAATGAGCGCTGAGCCTGGGCTTGTGTTTTAGTAGCTGCATTTGTTTTTTACTTTCCAGTAAAATGTTGCTTTGTTTTTTGGTGTTTATAAGTAGCATCATACTATACCATCAGTAAGAACATATTTGTCATGATTTAAGAACAAGGTTTTTTATCTCATAAAATTGATACGAAAAACAAACTGTGTTTATCTTCCCCAGTTTCAGTACATAAACTAAAGCTACTTTAATGATGTGAAACTGGTTTGTTAGCATGAAGGCGGAAATGGAGATTTCAACTCAGTCACTTTTGTATTACTGTGGCTGGTCACACATCATAGAATAGTAAAAAGTCTGCAGGGACATTTATTTCTGCAAGGATCTGCAACACTAAACAAAACTCAACAAGGTGCATTTATTACAAGTGTTGCATAGACTTCCAAATGGTGATAAGGAAAGGAAATTATTTGAAAATATAATTACATTAATTTTTGAAATAATCAGTGGTGTGTGGCGAATTTATTTTTGCAAGTCAGTTTTCATCACCACAGGGGGGCGCCAAATTACCCTTCTTATGCATCATACGGCACTGGTACCAGGTCCACGAGCACTTCCGGCAATAAAGTTGTTCAAGGACTTGCTTAAAATTCACCAATATATGCAAACTGCACACGTACTTAACTGGAAGAGGCTCATCAAAATGTCAGAATCTACATTTTCAACCTCAAACACCCAACAACAATGAACCGCTACATGAAAAGGCCGTGAAAAGACGCTAAACACACATGTAGAGAAAAACACACAGTAGCAACAATGCAATATGATCCTACCCACAGAAGCAGCCATTTAAATTAAAGTCCAGACTCTTCTTTTCAATCGGTAAAAGTCGGCCGCCATTACTCAATGTGCAAAACTCACTGAGCAAGCCGCGAACGCAGCAGCAAAAACGGCTCATTTCATGAAATCAAAAGCGTAAATTCAATCGTACCTTTGCAGGTTTATGGTCATAATCCGTGTTATAGTAAAATAAAATCCACTCGGTTCATGTAGTCACGTCCCAACATCACACTGATCTGATTCCTGACAGTTTTGGGCTTTGGGGCTTTTGGCTCGGAGTTCCAGGTGAACATCCTGATCTGAGACTCCAGTCTTCTGCGCATGTTTCAATCACAAATCTCTGCACCCAAAGGCTCTTCTATTCTATTCTTTATATTGGAGGGGGATCCAGCGCACATTCGCCAATCATAGCGTAGGTCTATTGCAAAGACCGCTGTGCCCAAAATGAACAGGAAATATGTCACAAGATGATTTGGTCGTGGTAAAAGTGAGAGAACATTTTTAATCTACAGGTAAATGTAGATTATACACAGCATTTTCAGTCTGTATGATGTATAGATCGTTTAGTTTAATTTTCATGTTTTATTATTTTATATTTTGTGATTCCTGTCTTCTTCATCCTCTTCCTGTGAGACTGGTGGGGTGGCACCCTAGTGCCCCCTTTGGACGAGCCGCCACTTATGATAATTTCTGTATAAACTAATAATAAATCATGTCTGTAGGATTTTTATACCACACACACCGTTTAAATGGCGGCTTTGCTCATGTCGTCGTCCTCCAGTAATCTCTTCAGCACCTTGGACAGCACCAAGAGGATATTTGTTCAATAAACTGGATTTTTATTCAGCTGATCAAAAACAAACAAACAAGAAAACCAAATTAGGTTTATTGTTTGTATCCTAACTGATGCATCGTTTTGTCATGTTTATTCACCACTTTAATTTGTAATATAATTAAAATACATTTTAGTTAGTGTCACATAGCCTCCTTAGTGATCGTTAAATGTGCGTCAGGATTTTAACAACTATTAATTATCAGTCCTGTTTGGTTTTTTTTTGGATGGAGTTGTGTTGTTTGGTTCTGTTTGGTAAGGGAAGGTGAATCATTCCTCCCTTCCTCTGCTTTTCAGCCCACCTTTGGCTCTGATGGATCTTGCCATCAACAGAGAGTTCTTAGCCTTGAATCAAAGACATCCCTAGTTATTAGTTTTATATTTATTTTACTTAATTTTGGAAGTTTTCCTCCTGTGTAATGAATGAATTCATGTTTTCCATCATACCATAAGCCCTGTCAAACTACCTGATGCAGGAGTAAAGACTACAGGATGAGCTGATTAGAGAAGTTTGTTTAAGACATAAGCTGTGGCAGCAGGACACCTGACAACGGCTGGTCTGCATGGAAATGTTAGTGTAAATATGAATCCTTTAAAATAATAATATAGTTTATACGAATGTGTCCTGACTGTTCAGATAATGTTTTTCTCAAAGCTGTTGTGTCTCCTCATTGAGCATGCTGCATCAGTCTTGCCTTTCCCGATGCTGGGATCAAAGTCAGTGAGCTGCAGACTTTTTCTTATTGTTCGCACATTAACGTTTAAAAAAAGAACAAAAGGTTTTGAATATTTCAGGGTTTTTGTTTTGTTTTTCATGGGCAAATCGAACAAAATCCCAAAAGCTTTCCTACTCAGCTGGCTGGGGGCTTGTCAGTTTTTCTCATTTTAAATAAGCAGAAGAGGTCTTTGTTTACGTCTTTGTTTACAATCTCTACAGCCTCCATTCTTCCTGGCTCCAGATCCAATCATGTGAGCCCGCAGGGTTGCCAAGTCTGCACTGGCAAACACTCCTGCACACTGCATTTGTAATTTAACAGGAGTGACCCAGAAGTCATTTCTTGTACCCGAAGAGCCACGGCATCTTTTTGTTTTACTCTAATATTGGGTAAAGGAGGCTATACGCTAACAATGCTAACGGTGAATTAGAAACAAAAAGCTCTAAAAAATAATTCAAGCTACTTTATGAATCACCAACAACTAGATATTACAGTGAAATGTGTTTATGATCAACTTACTGTGTTTGACTTCACTTGTCATCAAGAGTCTTCTGATCCTTAAATGGCAACTGTTGCTCAGAGTGGGCTTGTTTTTATGACTGCAGTGCCCACATTTGACCAGAAGTCATTTTTACTTCATGCACTTTTAAACGTTTTACACTTATTTACACTAATCTGATTGTCTCTCTTCATATCAGTCCTTCCTTATTTCTGTCTTCAACGTTCCTGTCCTTTAGGTCCTTTTCTTGTCTCACTGACCTTACTGGTTTCTGTTCTTTGCTCAGACTGGAGCCTCATGGTCGTGGAGTTGCCACTCAACAGGGTCAAGCAGAGTCTCCTGCTCCAGAGCAGGATGAGGAGATCCTGGGCTCCGACGACGACGAGCAGGAGGATCCCAACGATTATTGCAGGGGTAGGAACTGTCAAACTTGTGTGTGTGTGTGTGTGCGCGCGTGCGCACGTGCGTGCGTGTGTGTGGTGTGTGTGTGATTGGAGTTGCATTATTTTCTAATTTAAAAAGGTGTCAACAGAGCTGTCATAACATCCTTGAAAAACATTCCTTTATAATAAACTCTAGTTGCATAAAGCAAAACTTAATGTTTGACCATTTCTCTCACTGTGCATGTGTTCAGGTGGATACCACCATGTCAAGATTGGTGATCTGTTTAACGGCAGATATCATGTGATCCGTAAACTGGGTTGGGGTCACTTCTCCACTGTATGGCTGGCCTGGGACATCCAGTAAGTCCCTGTCAAACTGATATTTGTCTTTTTTGACTGCATTGATGTTCTGAAAAACTAAAGTAAACAGTGATGCATTTAAGCATAAATTTAAAAAATAGCTCTAAAATGTTTTGTGACTGAAAAGCACTGCTGCTGACTCACAGCAAGTGTTTAAAAACTGTTAGATTTTGGACGCCATCATTTAAAAGTAGCAGAGGCTTTTTAAATGCAGCTGCAGCATCTGGGCAGCTGTTGATAAGCTGCTTGTTGTTTTTTTTTAACAGCCTATTGGAATTGCTACTGGCCCTCACTCTGTGAGCTGCTGTCCTTGTGGTGGTCTGAACCAGTTTAAACTTGAACTTCATTTGTAATTAGTTGGTGGATTATAGCTGCTTGTGGGCACCAGTTATAAACATCAGGGTTTAAAAATGTGTGTCTTTATTTCCAGTGTTCCTGTGTGTTTAAATATTGCTCTGATGTTATTATTCGACCCTTTTTGAACAAGCTGATGTGGCCGTAAAATGCGTGGTTATAAATTAGGCTTACTGTCGTTTCCAGGGAGAAATCCTTCGTGGCCATGAAGGTGGTTAAAAGTGCTGAACATTACACAGAGACGGCTCTGGATGAGATCAAGCTGCTCAAATCTGTGAGGCAACATTAAATCTTTTTGTTGTTCAGATACATCCAGTGTACTTGTTGGTATTCACACAGCTGTTTGTGTCTTCCAGGTGAGGAACACGGATCCCAGAGATCCCAGTAGAGAGAAGGTGGTGCAGCTACTGGACGACTTCAAAATTTCTGGCATGAATGGAACTCGTATCCTCTGCTGCAAAGGAATTTTGCTTTATTAACAGACACATTAATGTCCTTGTTAATCAAAATGCTGATAATTTACAAAAGGATCATTTACAGCAACACACATGTATGAGTAACTGCTTTACTGCCTACTACTGTTGATGCGTGTAAGCCAGGCTTCTTGACCTGCCTTCCTCCAGATGTGTGTATGGTGTTTGAGGTTCTGGGCTACCACCTCTTGAAGTGGATCATAAAGTCTAACTATCAGGGCCTGCCCCTGCCTTGTGTTAAAAGCATCATACGACAGGTAGTGCGCTGCAAAACAGAAGCATAAACTTCAAGCATCAAGATTTGTTTTGCTTTAAATGTAGGGGGCAATGTCAGTTATTTCATCTAGAACATCTGTGACTCTCCTGCAGGTTCTTCAGGGCCTGGACTACCTCCACTCCAAGTGTAAGATCATTCACACGGACATTAAACCAGAAAATATCCTGCTGACTGTCAACGAGCCCTACATCAGGAAGATGGCTGCTGAAGCGACGCAGTGGCAGAAGTCTGGAGCTCCGCCTCCCTCTGGATCTGCAGGTTACATCCTCTCACTTTGGGTTTGGAGACAAGAATGAATTTAAATCTACTTGATACGTTTAATGTGAGGTGATCACAAACTCAAAAATGTGAGCATTTTGGCTTGAAACCAGTAAAAAGGGAAAGCTTGGATGTGAGTCACCAGTGGGTTGGTTATGGCTGTCAGCGGCTCACCTAGAGGAGGACTTCGTGTGACTCCTGCTGAGCTTGGCGCCACAGCAGAGAGGGTTTGTTGGGGAAGATCGGTATAAATTTATCCACCAGAACAGACTGCTGATTCTAGAGCCGTGTGTCCTTCAACTTTATAATCCTTTGATGTTTCCCATTTCCTACAGTCAGTACAGCTCCAGCATCAAAACAAGTAAGTCGATTTGATAAGGCTTTTATTAACTACACATAGGATAAATGCAATGCAGCTTTCTCCATTTTCCAGCCAGCCAAAATGTCAAAGAACAAAAAGAAGAAGATGAAAAAGAAGCAAAAGAAGCAAGCAGAACTGTTGGAGAAGAGGATCCAGGAGACGGAGGGAGGAGCTCTACCTGATGGTGGAGAGGAAGATGATGAAGAGGAGACGGAGACCAATGAAGACACGGCTTCCTCGACCACCCTCCCTGTGTCTGCTACCCTGCAGGACTTAGATAATTACACTAGCACAGGTGAGCAGGTCACAGTGACCCAGGTTTACCACCAGATGTGTAAACGGTGTGTTTTCTCCACGACCTCAGCGGCGCGTTCTTTCCTGCGGAGCTCATTTCAGAAGTGCATCAGCAGTGAGGGTGTTCCATGCAGCTGGTCCAGCGAGGGCACGAAATCACAGGGGAATTGCAGGATCACATGTGATTTTGCCAGTTCACGCAAGAAATATCAAGGAGGAAGATGTATCGAAAATGTCTTTTATTTTTAAAGGTGCCAGATGTTTTGCATTGCTCCTGTGTCTGACTTCCTGTTCGACTCAAGCTGAACTGCTGAGCTTGACGTGTTCTGGAAATGTAGAGCGTAACACCTTAAGCATGAATTTAGCTGAGCGGTATTGCACTACGCTTCTGGTATGCACCCAGGACGTGTCGCTCCGCGCCCAGGACGTGTCGCTCCGCGCCCAGGACGTGTCGCTCCGCGCCCAGGACGTGTCGCTCCGCGCCCAGGGCGTGTCGCTCCGCACCCAGGGCGTGTCGCTCCGCGCCCAGGACGTGTCGCTCCGCGCCCAGGACGTGTCGCTCCGCGCCCAGGACGTGTCGCTTTGCGCCCAAGGCGTGTCGCTCCGCGCCCAGGACGTGTCACTCCGCGCCCAGGACGTGTCGCTCCGCGCCCAGGACGTGTCGCTCCGCGCCCAGGGCGTGTCGCTCTGCGCCCAGTGGATACACCCATTCACCACAACGGTGTCTATTTGGCTGTGTTTTACGACATTAATGACGATTACGCTTCCAGTGAAACGTCGGGGTTAGAAAACATTTGTCTTCAAGGGAAAACTGTGAAAATAATCCATCATATTTTTTTGTAGACCTGACTCCTGACGAGCAGCCCAGAGAGATGCCTGAGTTAAATGAGCAGGAAAAGGAGACGACCCAACAGGAGAACAGAATGGAAATCAACTGTAACGGCCACGTGTCATCAGCAGACGGCAACGCCAGTCCAGATGCACAAGAGTCAGAGCAGTGTGCCAAGGAACTGGAGGACCAACAGAACACAAACCAACCAGAGATCCACCAAACGTTATGCAACAAAGAGGAACAGGAGATCTGTGACCCAGACACGACCGTGCAGCAGCTCCTTTCATCCCACAGCTCAGATGTTGGTGTAGAGTGGCAGGAGGGGGAAACAGAAGGAAAAAAGATGAAGGACATGGACAATCAAGAGGAGGACAAGAAAGGGAGTGATGAAGAGGAGTGCCAGAATGGTTAGTGGTGATCTTACTGTGAAGCACCAGGGGTCTTCAAATGGACTCTAAAATGTTTATTTTCAGGTTTTTACCTTGTTTGCTAATGAATATTTCAACATCTGTTTGTAATGAGGTAAAACTAGTAAAATGGTTCATTTTTAATTTGCTCCTTTAAGTTACCTTTTTTCTGCAAGTGATGTTTTATCGGATACAATAAGCATAAATGTTGGTATTTATCCTTTTTTTGTCTGTAATTTCATGTTTTACAGACCTGGTCGTTATTTCATGCTCATTTCAACTCTAGTTTCTAAAAGAATCACTGAAATAGTTCAGATCAGTCACAAATAAGACCAACTTGTTTTAAATAGTTAAAATATACAGCAGATTTCTAATCCAACAGCAGTGTGGAGGATGTTGGGTTGGTTGTGCTTTAATTTGAAAATGGATGCAGCGTGCTTTCCACTGAGCAGGTCAGAAACGCTGCTGCTGCTCAGCGAGTGGGCTGTCTGTGTCCACGGAGGGCCGGAGCTGAGTGGGCCTTGTTGTGCTAGCTGGGGCTGATGCATATGGATGCATCATGGTTCTGATTTTCACTCAGGCACATCACTAATAACACCCTCTACTTTGTAGCTGAATAAATGACAGTAAACGTTCTGCATCAGACCCTGCAGGACCAGCCTGAGATAAGTGGATTGAGGGAGTTAAATCACCTTTTACTCTGCTTTGTACCTTCAGCAGGGAGTATGCTGATAAATCCTCTGGATCCTCAGAACGCTGACAAGCTGCAGGTTAAGATAGCTGACCTCGGTAATGCCTGCTGGGTGGTAAGTGCAAACAGAATGCACACAAATCAGCCACAACGCTTGGTTAGAATTTTATAAGGAAGACTGGATGAGATTTTATGTTGTGTCGTTATGGTTTTGCCTGTGTGTGTGTGTGTGTGATGTTGATCTAATTTGTTATTCTACCACTGCTAACTGACCTTTGAATAAATAAAATGCTACAAGTCAGGCACTTTTATAGGTTTTTGATCAAAATTGATATTAAAGTGTGTAAAAAAGCAGAGTGGTTATAAGATTACTGACCTTCAGTTTGTTTATTTGTTTGGTAGTTGTTGTTTTTTTTGACAGTATCAGCTGGTTTTTCTAAAATACTACTGACAAGTTTGTTATTTTGCAGCATAAACACTTCACCGATGACATCCAGACACGACAGTACCGTTCTCTTGAGGTTCTGACTGGAGCCGGCTACAGCACTCCAGCAGACATTTGGAGCACAGCCTGCATGGTAACACACACACACACACACACACACACTCACACACACACACGCTACAGTGATATGGTCAGGCTCTTTGCACTTCCTGAAGAGATTATTATTAATGGTTATGAACAAGAAGTATTAGAATTTGCGGACACATTTTTGCTTAAATCTTAATTTTTTTTAATGTCTGAAATTTGTTTTGAATTTGCCTGTTTTAAGTCAACAATGTGTCATTAAGGTCTTTAAGAGCAAGCCACCCTGCTACCAGAGTCTTACGCCATCCCATACCGCCATTTTGAAAAAAGGGAGGCGTTGCCTGGTGGACAGAGAGGGCAGCACTGCGTCAGTGACCAAACTCTGAGCTGTTTCGCTTTGTATCGGCTCAAGAGGGGCTGAGCCAGCCAGATGCGTGGCCAAGACTTGAGCGCAGTGCATCCACGTCAGGTGGTACTATTTAGCCAATAGCGATGGCTGATTCCAATTCAATATAAATCAGACTTTTAAACTGAAGAGGGCACCACACGGATGGTTTTAGACAGAATAGTTATATTTTAAATAAGAATGCAATCAAATACCAAAGTAATGACTTCACATGTCAACAGCACTGTTGTCAGCAAAAATGTTGATTTGGGGGTGACTTGCTCTTTAAGCTCATTTATGTGGAATTGTTTCATCTTGAGTGTGTGTGTTTTTATTTTTTCTCTCAGGCCTTTGAACTTGCAACAGGAGATTATCTGTTTGAGCCTCACTCTGGAGAAGACTACTCCAGAGATGAAGGTCAGTGCTGCCAAAGAGGAATAAAACTGAACTTTTGTTTTAAAGGACAACCAGAAAAGAAGTGCCGTATTTGTTTAGGAACTTTAAAAACATCAAATCCATTTAACACACAGTTCTAGTCCAACTGTTCCTAAAATAAAGAAATGTATCCTGTGTGGATTTCTAAGCTACTTGAAATCTAATGTTCTGTTTATTTTGGTTGTTCGTGTGTTTTTCTTTCCTCCCCGTAGATCACATAGCTCTCATCATCGAGCTGCTAGGAAAAGTTCCTCGGAAGCTGATCTTGGCAGGAAAATACTCCAAGGAGTTTTTCACCAAGAAAGGTAAACACACCTGCCTGCAGCCAGCTGTTGGCTGCAGTTCTACTCTGAAATATGTCCTTGTCCATGGGTGAAGCTCCTGAGAGCTCAGGGGAACAGCCATCTGCTCAGTTCAGAACAGAATATTAGAAATTTATTTATTTTAAGATCTTGAATGCTGTTACTTCTTGTACTTTTGGATGCACCTCCGTAATTAAATGTTTTACATCCGGTTCTCTCAGGTGATCTGCGTCACATCACCAAGCTGAAGCCGTGGGCATTGTTCGATGTCTTGGTGGAGAAGTACGAGTGGTCCAAGGAGGAAGCTCACTCGTTCAGCAGCTTCCTGCTGCCCATGCTGGACCTGGTGCCTGAAAGGAGGGCCACAGCAGCTCAGTGCCTCTCACATCCATGGCTCACATCCTAGAGGCCACACATACACACACACACTGCTGTTCTCATATTGTGTAATGGTGAATCGGGTGTGAAGGCCCTGGACGTTTGCGTCTGTCAGCCTCATTGTGCCTGCGCTGCATCTTCACATCTCGGCATATTCACGCCCATCCAAACAGCAGAGACCCTGCAGTCTTTTTTCACTGTTTATTTAAGGAGGTAAAGATCCTCTCCGTATTTACTGATTTTTTTTTTTTTTTACTGGTTAGACAACATCTTTTTGTGCTTATTTCCCTCAGACTGCTGCTATTTCTCTTCTGCCCGTCATTCTTGTCGGATTTAAAATACCTTTGCACTTTTCTACAAATGAAAAAAGCAGGATGCCGTCAGAGACGCAAAGATCTGATGCCGAGCCAAAACTGTTTGTCATCACGTGCCAGCTTTTTTATACATTTAGCTGAAAACGATGTAGTCAGTTACAGCTGAGGTTAAAACGTTGAAGTATTGTTAGTTTAGACTTCTCATGAACGGACCTTTTTCCTACATTTGTTCTCAGAGAGCTACAAGATAAAAATGGATTTAATTTAGTTATCCAAACTCACACTTTGTTCTTATTTCAGATGTGGTTGGTTGTAGGGATTTTTAAGGAACACGTGTTTTTGTACAACATAGTAGGAACAAAAATCTCATTATTTCTCTCTAGTGCATGAGCTGGCAGACGGTTTATTCTTCTTTGGATTGTTATTTTTAAATTCTTAATTCACTCATGTTCCACATTCACGTGAAAACACCATACAAGAATTCTGTGTACAGTTCAGTGTACCAAAGAATCGGACTAAACGGTCATTAAACTAGTGAAGACTGAAATGTGCATTCTGAGGGCCTTAAGAGACATTTATGAACCATCAGCAGGCAATAAAATCCTCCCAGACGAGCTGGATCAGTGGAAAAGATTGTATTAATTATAAATATTGTAATAATGCTTTACATTTCATTGCAGCGGTCATTCGTTTTTTTAAGCAAGTCTCTTATTTCCATGTCTTCCTTCTTTGTCTGTCGGTAATAAGAATAAACATTTTCCAAAACGAGTGTTGGCCTCTTCAGTCATTACTCATTATGTTAAATAGGTTGCTGATGTTTATTTTAGGGACCTACAAGGATTTTAGCTAGGGATGGACAATATATCGGCATCAATTTCAGTATCGACCGATGTTAGTCTTTTTTTAACACACCGATATCGGTTCGAAAAGTAAAAATGGGCCGATATTAACAACCAATATTTTTTCCATATCTCCATTTGTTTGCCTGTTTCAGAAGGTGAGTAGCCTAGTGAACTATTTATTTAGTCTGGCTTGCCAGGCTAGAAGGTGAGGGGAGTGATGTGTAATTGTTTACTTATGTGAACAGTGAAGGAAATAATCTCGGAACAACATTTTTAGGAAAAATATAACATTTGGATCCTCTAACAAATGAACAAGCATTTATGGATTAGCAGCAGACTTTATCGACATGTCGTCAAACAGCAAAGGTGCAATTTTAACACCACGAAGCATTTCTGACCTAATCTCACACACATATTTATATGTATATAGTCAACATGATTTTCTAAAGCATACACATGATCGGTTCAATTTTAAAAGGAAATTTAAAAGAAATACAACCTAGTTACTCATTCTTTTATGAAGATCGGACACTAATTTGTCCCTTTAAGTGAAATGACTTCAAAGCGGTTTATTTTTGTAACGCTTATTACCCAAAACATCCTTTTGTAACATTTTAATCTGAGTAAATTTGAAAAATAGCACTGTTAATGAAGCAACATTACACACAGAAAACATATACTGTATTTCGTATTTAAATTTAATTCAATTTTTATTTAACAATTTCATGGTTTCTTTTAGAAATAAAAATGTATTTATTGTACTGATTTTAAATGAGTTTGCGTGATTGTAGAAGAGGCAGAAATAGCTGGAGCTGATGAAACCTTCAGAGCTGTGTTGTCTGTCCCAGAGAGCCTCTGTGTGTCACTTTAGTGACTCTCACCCATCAGGCCTTATCTGTTCATAGGAGACATAATAAATTACTGAAGGGGTCTAATTCTGCACAAATAAAAACCCAATCCTGCATATTTGCCCCGTCTAACCATCACATCCTCCAGTTACCTCCCCCTCGTACCTTTCTCCTCCACCTGGAAGTCCTCGGGCAGCAGCTTGTCCTGCCGGTTGCCCAGGCTGAAGGCCAGGAAGGAGAGGACGAGCGAGTCCATGATGCTAATGATGGCCAGGATGTAGGCCCAGCGCACCGTGCAGTTACCCAGAGTGTACTTGTCCGTCCGCTGGCCGCACATCCGCTTCACCTCATCTGAGTCCCAGCCGTCGGGATAGATCATGCAGCCGATAACCATGCATGTACCTGAGAGGACGATGAGAGCCCACACACCCCATCAGAGCTCTGGAAACATTTATAGGACTGCACGATACATAAATGTCAGAACATTTTCTCATTTCCTCTGATGGAAGGGTTAATAAGGAAGGGAATCAGAGGAGACATTAAACACTAAGATGCTGAGCAGCTTCAAGGTTCACAAAGATAATTTAATCCATTATTGACTCTGCAGACAGGATACCCTTCTGCAGTGTCAGCTCAGCATGATGAGGTGAAACACACACACACACACATTTTCATTGAGCTCCTTGTTTCAGTGATGACTGATGCAGATCATACATTTTGTGTTTAAGCTCAGATCAAATCTACCAATAAACTGATGAATTATGCTCAAAGCCACAGTATACCTAACATCATCACAAACCTGGACTAGTGTTTGCACAAGTCACACGTGTAACCGCACACCTCCAATTCGGTCTCATTACCTGTCTCACTACAGCCTCATCCTTTCACTTGCTGCTGCAGGAGCTGCTTCATGTTTCAGAGGCAGACTCGGGTTTCACGTCTATCTGAGGATGCACAGTGACTAAAGTCTTGTCAGTACTGAGTTTGTTTATTTTTAAAATTTGGTGTGCAATTGTATTTGTTTTACAGATACTTTTGAATTCATTCTTGTTTTTACATCTATTGGGGGGGGGGGGGGGGGGGCTTGATCTTGAGACAAACCTAAATGAATAAAAGATGTGGACTCTGTCTGTATATTTTACTGTAAGTGTTTTCAAATAGAAATGTTTTCAACATCAGACACAAAAAACTAAATACTAAATGTTAAACTGAAAAGGCACTTTTCAAAAGATGATTTAATTCACTAATGAGGGAAAAGTTACCCTAAACTAATATAACCAGGACATATTTAATCTGGGTAACCTCACAACATCAACACAGACAAAATTATGGGACCCCTGCAATCTTGTGGGGACCCCCTTGGGGGGGTCATGGACCCCAAGTCGGGAACCAATGCTGTAGGAGAATGTCTGATAGCCTTAAACAGACAGTTTATTTTGGAAAACAGAGGCGGATTCACCGGGATGGCATAGGGTGCCAACTGCCACCCTAAAAGAAAGCCTGGTTACCCCTGATGCCATTCAAACTAGCAGCTGTAATTTCAAGGAATAGTTGTGGTAATTTGGACATTGCAAACATGAGCGTTGCATGTCTGATTACAACTTTTTTATGATCTGAAACGTTTGAGTGTGACATTAAAGCAAAAACACGATATCTCTAAGGTGGCGAATAATTGCTCATAGCTCTTAAATTAACAATCGGAACCACTCAGTTTGATTTTTATAGATGTAGACAAGGTCTGACTGGACCCTGGAGCTCACTGGAGGCCAGTTGCATCCAGGCGCAGATCTTGTAAACACTGCCCGTGTTGCAGAAGAAGAAGAGGCTGAAGCTGACAATGCTGGCCACAATCAGCAACATGGAGATCCCCACAAAGAACATGGCTGTTTTGAAGGCTCCGGACGGGATGGAGCCGAAGTCCAGCGCACTCCCTTTGCATGTGAGCTCCGAGGTCAGCGCATTCCCAATACAGTAGTGGAAGAGGCCAAAGTAGCCGGCTTGAGGCGTGTGGACGCTGTCTCCAATCCAGTAGGGCTGGATGAAGACCACCACAGTGATGACGGCAAAGGTGATGGTGAACACCGTCCACATGGCACCCACAGCACGAGCGTTCCGCACATAGTTGGTGTGGTAAATTTTTGCTGCCTCCTGAGCTGGGAGCATGGTGAGAGAGGGTTCAGGGGTTTCACAACAAAACCAGAGGAGTGAAAAAGAGTTCAAATCCGTTAAGAGAAAGCCGAGAAGCAAGTCGAACCCACGGACAGCTCCCAGTGCTGAAATAACTCCTAAAGAAAACAAGCACACTTCTACTGAGGCCTGAAAGGTCCATGTAAATGACTGGATCTGGTTCTGGAGCAGTCCTGGTGTGGTTTCAGTCTAAGTCAGTGGGAGTTGGCTCTCCTGGGGAGGCTGTGGTTTCCTGATAATAAATGATTAATGTGCTAAACATGAGCAACACACCACCTGCTCACCTGGAGACTTTCACTTTTCAAAACAAGAGTCTTTTACAAAAGCTAAAAGAGTTGCTTTGGAGGTTTTTTTCATGTAAAAAACAAAAGTAACAATAGAATGCTCCAGGCTCTCTTAGTAATAAATACAATCCTGCAAGTGGTAAATTATTCAGAACACATTTTGAAAGCTAAATCTGAGACCATGGTCTTGATTTGGAAAAGGGTAGAATGCCTTCTCCGGGTCAGGGAGGAGTTCAAGCGGCTGAAATGAGTTTTCTCCGAAGAGTGGCTGGGCTCTCCCTTAGAAATAGGGGGAGAAGCTCAGTCATCCGGGAGGGGCTCAGAGTAGACCCGCTGCTCATCTACATCGAGAGGAGCCAGTTGAGGTGGCTCGGGCATCTGGTCAGGAAGCCTCCTGGACGCCTCCCTGGTGAGGTTTTCCGGGCACGTCCAACCGGGGGGAGGGGGCAAAACAAGGCTGACAAGGACAATGGACCAACGACATATTGAGACGCAGACAGGGTTTTATACACGGGGTAGGATGATTGGGAGATGAGCTGCAGGTGCGTGGAGAGAGAGAAACCTGGTGAAATCAATTTACTAATCAGGGAGAGGAAACTAAGCTGAGGAGGAGAAATAAAACATGACCTATGAATAATAACCAAACTTAAAGACTAGAATAACAGGACAAATAACTAATGATCCAAGGAGGAAAGGAGAACTAATAAACTGGTGGGGAAGGACCAAGGAAGGAACCTAGAAAACCTGAAACTACAGGGAAAAATTAGCTAAATAATATAAATACAAAGAAAACTAAAGAATAAGTGAACCTGGGAAACCTGGTGGGAGCTGGAGACAAGCAGGGGCACAGGAAGCTTAGGTACACATGAAGGGGGATCCTAGAGGGAACTCTGGAGGGGTTGGAGACCTAAAGGGGCACAGAAACCTAAAGGGAGAACCTGGAGTGGGGCTGGGGAACACAAGGAGGCACATAAGGGGAACCTAGAGGGGGGCTGGAGAACACATGAGGGGGATGCAGGACGCAGACCATGACAGCAATAGCAATCTACTGAGTTAGGATCTGTTGTTATTATCCAAAGAGCCTTGGTCTTAATTACACATTTATTAAATGTTTTTAAGATTTTTTTAAATTGCAGAATGACTAAAGGTTCAAATAAGTTTCTTTCATGTTCATAGGGTCCTAAAATGGACATACAATACCATTGAGGTCACATGTCCTTTAGGACTTTATCTGCATCCAGCATCCCTTAAAAAAACTTCATTTGAACTATTTTTATTTTCTTATCTTAATAATTAAATATCAATAACTCAGAAAAGTACACCGGGGTTTAGTAAAACATAACAGTGAGTGTTTATTTTGTGCTTTAACTGGCATAATGATACAAGGTTTCCGTATGAACTACAATCAGCCACTAGATGGAGCTAAAAAATTGTTTTTATACACAAATTCCTCTTCGACGTTGTCCTGAAGTGTAATTAAAATAATAACCCATCATTTATTGAATAAGTAATTTGTGAATGCAATCTTTAAACAATGTAAATAATTCAAAGGTAAACAACATTTGTGAAATTAAAATGGGATTCTGAGTGGAGTTGTAGTTTGATTTAAAGGTCAGTAAGTTTTATTTACACAGTTTGCTTTTAAAATGTTTTTCCTTCAAAATGATTTTATTCACTTAAAGGATTAAGATGAACCAAAACATGCTATAGGTTTCATTTTATCACAGAGTAGTGTGAACTATATCATCATGAAACTTTCAGTGTTGAACAACAAATATTTCAACCTGAAGAAATAATTTTCTATCAACGCCTGAGATGTTAACATGATTAAAAGTCCCTGAATGACTATGAGGTTTCCTCTCTCAGAGCTTGGTCCAGGATCAAGTCTTTGAAGTTCAGTTAGTGCACTTCATATGATGAATGTTTTTCAGCTCTGTGTGTGTGTGTGTGTGTGTGTGTGTGTGTGTGTGTGTGTGTGTGTGTGTGTGTGTGTGTGTGTGTGTGTGTGTGTGTTTTCACATGTGTTTGCGAGCATGGGACATTCTATTGCACTCAGCTTTGTTAAGTTGATGTGAGACAGAAGTTGTTTATAATCAATCTATCTGAGGAAGTAATCCAATTTCTGAACCAGAATGGAATAGGAGTTTTTGTGTGTTTGTGACAGTGTTAATGTCTGTGTGTGTTTGTGACAGTGTTCATGTCTGTGTGTGTTTGTGACAGTGTTCATGTCTGTGTGTGTTTGTGACAGTGTTCATGTCTGTGTGTGTTTGTGACAGTGTTCATGTCTGTGTGTGTTTGTGACAGTGTTAATGTCTCTGTGTGTTTGTGACAGTGTTCATGTCTGTGTGTGTTAGTGACAGTGTTCATGTCTGTGTGTGTTTGTGACAGTGTTCATGTGTGTGTGTGTTAGTGACAGTGTTCATGTCTGTGTGTGTTTGTGACAGTGTTCATGTCTGTGTGTGTTTGTGACAGTGTTCATGTGTGTGTGTGTTAGTGACAGTGTTCATGTCTGTGTGTTTGTGACAGTGTTAATGTCTGTGTGTGTTTGTGACAGTGTTCATGTCTGTGTGTGTTTGTGACAGTGTTCATGTGTGTGTGTGTTAGTGACAGTGTTCATGTCTGTGTGTGTTTGTGACAGTGTTAATGTCTGTGTGTGTTTGTGACAGTGTTCATGTCTGTGTGTGTTTGTGACAGTGTTCATGTCTGTGTGTGTTTGTGACAGTGTTCATGTCTGTGTGTGTTTGTGACAGTGTTCATGTGTGTGTGTGTTAGTGACAGTGTTCATGTCTGTGTGTGTTTGTGACAGTGTTCATGTCTGTGTGTGTTAGTGACAGTGTTCATGTCTGTGTGTGTTTGTGACAGTGTTCATGTCTGTGTGTGTTTGTGACAGTGTTAATGTCTGTGTGTGTTTGTGACAGTGTTAATGTCTGTGTGTGTTTGTGACAGTGTTCATGTCTGTGTGTTAGTGACAGTGTTCATGTCTGTGTGTGTTTGTGACAGTGTTCATGTCTGTGTGTGTTTGTGACAGTGTTCATGTCTGTGTGTGTTTGTGACAGTGTTCATGTCTGTGTGTGTTTGTGACAGTGTTCATGTGTGTGTGTGTTAGTGACAGTGTTCATGTCTGTGTGTGTTTGTGACAGTGTTCATGTCTGTGTGTGTTTGTGACAGTGTTCATGTCTGTGTGTGTTTGTGACAGTGTTCATGTCTGTGTGTGTTTGTGACAGTGTTCTTGTCTGTGTGTGTTTTTGACAGTGTTCATGTCTGTGTGTGTTTGTGACAGTGTTCATGTTTGTGTGTGTTTGTGACAGTGTTCATGTCTGTGTGTGTTTGTGACAGTGTTCATGTTTGTGTGTGTTTGTGACAGTGTTCATGTCTGTGTGTGTTTGTGACAGTGTTCATGTCTGTGTGTGTTTGTGACAGTGTTCATGTGTGTGTGTGTTTGTGACAGTGTTCATGTCTGTGTGTGTTTGTGACAGTGTTCATGTCTGTGTGTGTTTGTGACAGTGTTCATGTTTGTGTGTGTTTGTGACAGTGTTCATGTCTGTGTGTGTTTGTGACAGTGTTCATGTGTGTGTGTGTTTGTGACAGTGTTCATGTCTGTGTGTGTTTGTGACAGTGTTCATGTCTGTGTGTGTTTGTGACAGTGTTCATGTCTGTGTGTGTTTGTGACAGTGTTCATGTTTGTGTGTGTTTGTGACAGTGTTCATGTCTGTGTGTGTTTGTGACAGTGTTCATGTCTGTGTGTGTTTGTGACAGTGTTCATGTTTGTGTGTGTTTGTGACAGTGTTCATGTCTCTGTGTGTTTGTGACAGTGTTCATGTCTCTGTGTGTTTTTGACAGTGTTAATGTCTGTGTGTGTTTGTGACAGTGTTCATGTCTGTGTGTGTTTGTGACAGTGTTCATGTCTGTGTGTGTTTGTGACAGTGTTCATGTCTGTGTGTGTTTGTGACAGTGTTAATGTCTCTGTGTGTTTGTGACAGTGTTCATGTCTCTGTGTGTTTTTGACAGTGTTCATGTCTGTGTGTGTTTGTGACAGTGTTAATGTCTCTGTGTGTTTGTGACAGTGTTAATGTCTGTGTGTGTTTGTGACAGTGTTAATGTCTGTGTTTGTGACAGTGTTAATGTCTCTGTGTGTTTGTGACAGTGTTAATGTCTCTGTGTGTTTGTGACAGTGTTAATGTTTCTGTGTGTTTGTGACAGTGTTAATGTTTGTGTGTGTTTGTGACAGTGTTCATGTTTGTGTGTGTTTGTGACAGTGTTCATGTTTGTGTGTGTTTGTGACAGTGTTAATGTTTGTGTGTGTTTGTGACAGTGTTAATGTTTGTGTGTGTTTGTGACAGTGTTAATGTTTGTGTGTGTTTGTGACAGTGTTAATGTCTGTGTTTGTGACAGTGTTAATGTTTGTGTGTGTTTGTGACAGTGTTAATGTTTGTGTGTGTTTGTGACAGTGTTAATGTCTGTGTTTGTGACAGTGTTAATGTTTGTGTGTGTTTGTGACAGTGTTAATGTTTGTGTGTGTTTGTGACAGTGTTAATGTCTGTGTTTGTGACAGTGTTAATGTTTGTGTGTGTTTGTGACAGTGTTAATGTCTGTGTTTGTGACAGTGTTAATGTTTGTGTGTGTTTGTGACAGTGTTAATGTCTGTGTTTGTGACAGTGTTAATGTTTGTGTGTGTTTGTGACAGTGTTAATGTCTGTGTTTGTGACAGTGTTAATGTTTGTGTGTGTTTGTGACAGTGTTAATGTCTGTGTGTGTTTGTGACAGTGTTAATGTTTGTGTGTGTTTGTGACAGTGTTAATGTCTGTGTGTGTTTGTGACAGTGTTAATGTCTGTGTTTGTGACAGTGTTAATGTTTGTGTGTGTTTGTGACAGTGTT